CCGTAGCGCCAGGGCTGCGCCAGGCAGTGCGGGCAGCCAGCGCACGCGGGCCCTGCGCCGCTCGCGGGCGGACCCACGCCTAGCTCCATCACAGAGGCACCTCGCCGTAACGGTCGATTCCAAGATTGCGATGGGTGAGGTCCATTTGAACCCTCCCATGTCGGGACTGGCATCGGTTGCACCTATAATTAGTAATACGTACAGCTATAAACATAAACATATTCTAATGTCACTTTTATTAGCTTAGTTTCATTAGACAAAGACCTCCCCTAGAGGGTTTAATAATATCATGTAAACCGCAGCTGAGCAATATATCTGTTTTTTCATCTAAAATTTATAGTTGATTCAATCATTTAACTATTTTACGCATTCGTAAGAGATTTGGAGTTTCAGAATTTAATTATATTAGGTAGGAAATTACAAAACATTGTACCATGTTCGGTGGAATAAAACCCGGAAGGGAGGTTCGTTGTCGTCCCCATGCGTTGGGAACGTGTCCAAGTGTGTTAGACTGTTCGTGTGACGCGGCGACAGGTGTCTGTGTGTGGTGCATGGTCGCCGACAGGTATGGCATGGTGCCGAGCTGCGGCTGCGCGGACATCTGCACGTGCGCCTGCGCTCGCGACTTCAAGTGGTTCGGATTGGGCGCCGCCGGGTCGTGCAACATCGCCATGTCATTCGTTGATATCGATGTCAGTGTGGCACGACGCTGGTCTGGCGTCGGCAATCTAGGGCTTGCGCTCAATCTTTCGCCCGAGATCTACAATCATGCTAATATTATAAATACGAAAGTTTATGGATGTTTGTTAGAGTTTGTAGCCTAAACGGCTGAACGAATTTCGATGAAATTTGGTATAGATGATAGTCTGGAGAACATATAGCCTACTTACTTTTTTTTAATTCAACGCAGACGTTATCGCGGGCGTAAGTTAGTATTGTAATAAAAACATTTTTTTTTATAATTCATTTTTAAAACTGACACTAACTGGATATAGGTCTAATTGAATCAGGTACCTTATGTTTTCTGGGCGGAGGTACCGGAGGGCCTGTCTTTGGCGGTAGTGGCGGCCGCTCGTCAAATAATTGAGACTGCGACAAAGCCTACATTGAGAAATTTACTTGAGTTATATTAATTTCTATTGTGACATTGAATATACTCTAATTGGATCAATGTAGTCCATTTGAATAACTTAACGATTATGGTTTTTGGTTGCAAAAGTTTGCTCGATGAGATTGTCTAGTATATAGCATAGTATCGAGCGACTTTGTGAAGATACAATATTGGCTAAATCCCAACTTAATGACGTCTCTAAATTATTTTACTATTACGATTGATCCTTAAAAAGAATTTGTCTATTGGGGACTTGCAACATAATGGCTATATTTATGCTGTTGGTTTGAAGCCAATATTCTGTTTATTGGACTGTATATATCTTGCGCTTTTGTTGTTTAATAAAGTAAGTTCATTAACTCGTTTGATAATTACTTGTATTATTCACTTTAATCAAAATTTTAAATTAATGTTTTTACCCATCTTCACCAGCTCCACTATACGTCCCCACCGAGGGGCTCGGAGCCTACCCTAATAAGGGGTGACTAGGCCATAGTCAACCACGCAGGCCAAGTGCGGGTTGGTTGACTTCACACATATCTTTGAATTTCTTTTGCCGATATGTGCAGGTTGTATCACGATGTTTTCCTTCACCGTAAGAACGTCGGGTAAATTATGTATATATGAAAATTCGAAAAATCGAAAATCACATTGGAACATGGCGGGATTCGAACCCAAGACCTGTAGATTACAAGTTAACAGTTCAAACCACTGAGCCACCGACGCTCGACCGTTTTTACCCAGTGAAGTATAAAAGTTAAATTCTATTTCGGTTAGCCGCTATTCTAAGATAGGAAAATAAATTATTATTGACGTCATTTAGCGAGCCGTAAAGATTGTATACATATAACCGTGTGATATTTTATTTGACCTGACGCTGATGATGTCGTCGCTTGGGGTGTCGGTGGTACATGTCGTCACAGGAGGCGCAGAGCGCGCGCCGGCCGCACTCCGCGCACCGCACGCGCGCCCCTCCGCCGCCACACAGCCCGCACGACGCGCCCACCTCGGTAGGGTGACCTGACAGACAAAACAAGAAATTCTATAATTTCAGCTTACTATGTTCTACTCGCACATGTGCTGAACAAGAGGACGTTTTGATCTGTTGTTAACATCACAAAACTGTAAACGCAACGTGAGAACAGTGCTATAAATGCGAAGGGAGTGCGGATCTAGTTTAAATTTGGCATAGATGTAGATGATAGTTTTCTAAAACACATGGGCTACTTCCTTTTGTTTGTATTTTTTTTAATTTCAATCGGACTGAGTCACGGGTTAAAGTTAGTAGTATAATAAATTAACGCTGTAGCGACATTTTTGAGTAATCAAAATTACAGCTGAAGTGTTATATGAAAATACGGAAGCAGTCTACGGAAGTTTTACAGTCGGGAGTAGAAAATGCACCTGTTTGTGGTCTGGGCGGTGGCGGGGGCGGGGGCTGAAGCTTCGCGTTGACATATTGCTCAGCGGGGAACTCCACTACTTCGTAGTCAGGTTCCGGCCTAGCCAGCGGCGGCCGGCCCACTGACCGGATTGACAGCGTCGGTGTGGGGGGCACCGCAGTTCGGGGGTCCCGGCCTCGCCCTTTCAGCATCTAGAGATACACAAACACTAGATAAACATACTCGTACTGTAGATATTGAGATATACTATGAGTATTTTTTGGAGATTCAATAATAAAACCTACTCGAAAATCTGCTTTTTGATCAAATTAAATCACAACTAACTACTGAAACAGCCAGTAACTATATTAAATTAGATGATTAGTCGAGTCGAATTTTAAATTAGTGCAAAAAACTGAAGATATAATTATATTCACAGTAAAGGAAGAAAAAGACATGTGAAAATCAAGTTCTCTCTTTAGAAATCTCAATCCCCTTTATTTCACATTTTCTAATAGTTTAACTCAAGAAATTACTATATCAATATAACGAATTATGAATTATAAGTATGTTATTGTGTCATGTTCATTAATCAGTAAACAGAGCTGTCGTAAATTTGTTATTTGCACATAAACTACATGCGGTGGGTGTCAGCTTCGGTGTTGACGACTGGAGATATAGAGCAATGGCCTCTATTGAACACGGGTCAGTTATTTTTATAACAAACTAAAGAATTCTTTTCTTCTTCATCACCAGCACTTATTTATTGTTGAAGTGATAGCGGGATTTTAACAAAACAAATTTTTAGTTGGTACAAGGTTAAATTATTGAGGCAATTTTCATAATTCTTTATCTTCACTAAGAAATTTCGTTGTCAGATTTATTATCAACGTAAATCGTTGAAAAAACTATCACGTTATTAGTATCTTAGTATCAATATATATATCTACGCCTCTGGACCAGTTGGGCAATAGGAACATTTTAGAAGTCGTGTGTGAATTCGATTTCCAGTAGAATCAAACGGTATTACAAAAAATTCTAGATATTCCTGACAGTCTGAAAACATGTTTATTTAACAAAATAATACGTACGATTCCGTTATTTAACTCTTATAGGATCTTTAATAATCTCTTTGATTATTTTATAAAGCAATACGTAATCTTGAATAATGCAGGAAACAAACCATAAATAAATAATATTTTATTAAACGCAATTAACTCACAAAATTACTTAATAACTATGGACTTCGTAGAAATAGCGAACACTCATGCGTATATTCAATAAACATGTAAAAATATGCACATACAGATTACAGAACAAATCTCATGAAATTAAACTCTTTCTAAATAAACAATTCTTGTTAACGTCCAACACTGAGACTTAATTAAAATACTTTGTTAAGCTATAAAAATAAATTCAGATTTATAGCTTAGGCATATAACTTTTACAGGTTTTAAAGTTAAATTATCTTGATAAAGACTCTATAACAACAAGGGAACATAACTATAGTATTTTCAAGAGAAACTTTTTAGTAATTCTTGGTAGACATCCATAATCTTACTTGTTTCAAACATTTATTTATTTATTGCATTTGTATTTTGTTCAAAGGTAATGTTTTATTTGAATAGAAAGGAACAACAGTTCCTCATTTTAAAACTCGGTAAGGCTTTGTGAATATATATTTCCTAGAATAAGATTATAGTTTTATGCATAGCAAGTTGCACAAAAATATTGTCATGTACAGCTGTGGCCGGGCGGCCAGGCGGGCGGGCATTCGGGCGGGCGGCCGTTGTCGACTCGCCGACACCGACGCCGCTTCGACCCATTTATTCCGCCTCTCATATCCCAAAATATCGGAACTATTCACATACTTATTATATTTCATCCCGGTCACACAAAATTAATACGTTACTGATTTCTTTTTAACAACATCACATTATATTCTGTTACTAGATTTCTCGACAGGAATAGAAACGAAATCAAAATACTTGCCTTGTATTTATGCGTCGAGTCCGCTAGCGGTGTTCCACTTGTGAATTACGGCGGTATGCACTTTCAATTTGGCACTCACAATACATCATATGAGTAAGAATTAACACTATTATTGGATTCTTAAAATTACGCAACAGAGGTCTGGAAGAACACTCGCGAGGGCGTGGGGTCCGGTCCCGAGCGGGCGCTCCGCCACGGTCCACAGCAGCGCTAATCGTGCGCCCTATCCGGACGAAATTGACAGTGCGAAGACGCGTGCGCCGCCCATAGTCTCTATTTCTGTCCGCGGCCGCGTTGCCCTGATTTCACTAAAATTACGATCAGTTGCTATTTCCGCACTCGACTCGTTGCGCCCTCTTGCGGCCACCGCTAGCACCTAGCGTCTCGCGAATTACTTTCTATTAGATATACTCCTAACAGTTTATGAAATGCCAACGCGGTCTCCAGTAAAGAGCTATAATTAGCGTAAGCGATGTAATACAAGTAACATTTACAAACTACACTTTATAGCACGTTAGTTTTTTTTTATCACGAGATAGTATACTTTTACTAAAAATGCAATCTTTTCATATATTCTGCTAGCAATGATTGGACCTTATCTTGTTTTATTATTATGTCATAGAGGCTCATTTACCCTCAACCTATAAAAATATTTGAGAAGAACAAGTCGAAACATGCAATTGGTACATTTAACAAGTTATTTATCTACCCTCACTACTTGCAGTTTCCTTTTCTATCACATTGCGCCATCTATAAAAATGTTTGAAGGAAACACATCAGCTGGCCTCTCATTTGGAATTATCACGAAATTGACAGCAATCGAATTCCAAATTTAAATTTTGTTGTATCCGTAACTACGAAATGTAAACAAATAACTGTCAAATGATTGACATATTCTTGAAGTGTATAAAGCGACATGGAAATACTTCGGAAATATAAACAAAATGGATATTTTACACCTGAATTGTTTCATTTACTTGAGAAGAAAAAAGTTGTGGAAGCATCCGAAGAAGTATGTTTATTAAATTATATAATTATTTTAATGAAAAGAGGAAAAACATAGAATATATTCTCAGACTGATAAAAACTTTTGAAAACACTTGCCAGAGTTAACACTACATCTGATAATAATTTCAACTGATGCCATTAGTAACAGCTTCGATTTAAAGATCTTGCAAAAATAGTTATGTTGACTACCTTCAAGATTTTTGATCGTTGTTTGCGACCAAAGCAATAAAGTTGTATACTTAATTTTCAAGTTATCATTTCTTTTAGATTAAACCATCGGTGTATGAAAGAGAAATGAGGATGAGCACAACTGAACGATTACAAACTTTAAACAGCTTCTTGATAGATAATATAATCATTACTGAAAAAGATAGGAAAATACGACAGCATGTGATACTGTCGTTTACACCAAGAATTATAATATTCCAAAACTATAAACCTAACGAAAAAGTCGTTGCGAAATTCTTAGTCAAAAATATTAGCACTGTAAGTAATACGATATTTAAAAACATCTTACAAATGATTTAATAATTCAATGTATGGTGGATTTTGTAATGTAATTTTTATTACCTTACAGACTCCGACTTATATGAAAATGGTGTTTAAAGAATCATCTTATTTCTCTATAAAACTGAACAAGGATCAGCCTGTATCAAGACTAGCTCCCGGCATGAACATTGCGTATATCGTCACTTTTGTACCCACACAAATGGAGGACTACGTTCATAGAGTCGTATTTTATACTGACAGAGATCAGTATGTTTTACCCTTGATAGGTACACAATCTATCTTATATTAACAGTTTTGATTATGTTTTTTTGGTTAACTCAGAACTTTATCTAGTTAGATTAAATATTCTAGAAGTGCGACAGAAATACCTGGCAGAGTGAGGAAAGAGGCGGGATACAATTTGGCAGAAATTAAACTGAAAGTAGTTGAATTTTGAAAGTTATCTACGAGAAAAGTTTGGGAATCTCTGAACTAGCATAGTAGTTTTTCTTTTAATAACTTTTGTTGGATTTATCACATTATGCAAATGTACGAAAATGTAAATAAATCAAATTTAATTTTTTCAAAAGCTGTGGGTCCTAAACCGATCCTCAATTTACCGGACGAACTGGTTATTCCTAAAGCCCCTTTGAAGGTGGAGAGTAGTTATTTACTAACAGTTTGTAACATTGGTGCGGTACCAGCCGGATTTACATTGGACGCTAAATGGTATGAACACAATTATTATAAAGTATTAGCTTCTATTTAAAAAAGAAATTGTTTTAGTTGAACTTTGAGAATTATAATATTGTTAAATTTAAGTGAAAGCTTTTGTTGATTTATTGATGTTCGTTTCAGTCCATTTTCTGTAGAACCGAAATCAGCATATCTTGACTGTAATGAGAAAATTGAAATAAAAGTTACTTTTAAAACGATGCATTTAGGAATTGTAGAAGGCACATTGCGTGTGATGTTTGAAACAGGTAATAATGATATAACGATGATTTTTCCACGTTTTAGTAGAACATTAGTAATTGCTAATTTTGTCGTTTATTTCAGGAGAAATATTTAAGATAGCAGTATCCGGTACAGCGCATACTGTGAACGTAGTATTAGAAAAACAAATTGTCAGATTTCCAGATACCTACAACGGTATGGTGCGACAACAAACGTTTAAAATTACCAACAAATCTGATTACGTCCTTACTTACGTTTGCATGAAGAATGAATCGGTTTTCTATGGTATGTTTGGAGAATTCCGCGCTTTTTAATTGTTTTTCACATATGTACTTTGACTTTCTTTGACTTCAACTTTTCTTTGATTAATGTAACAATGGTGTCTTGATCACGTTTCCAGATTTCAAAGACAAAATCAAACTTGCGACCGTGTTCTACAATATGAAGGAGAGTGAGGCCGCTAAATGTGCGAAGTTAGTCCGCTACGATGTGCTGACCAGCGCCGAGCACGAGAGAGTTTACACCAGGATATTCTATGATGAGATACAAGCTCTTGTCGCAGATGAAACTTTATTATTTCAGAATACTCATTTCTCAATGTCACCTATCGTAAGTGGGATCGTTTTTATTCTTTTTATAAGGTGACCAACGAGCAAGTTACCATTGTCAGTAGACATCTGCAACAAGTTTTTAGATATGTTGCCTACCTTGTTTGTAGATATGTTGAATGTGTCGCCTAACTTTATGGACAGAGGAGAAGATATATCACTTTTACATGTTTCTTTCTTTCATTAAACCACTTATTCCCATCTCTTTTCAATATGCATGTTTAATATATTTTTTTATATTACAGAAAGGTCAGCTGTGGCCAAATAAAACGACAGAAATAGTTATAACGTTCGCGCCCAAACAAATAGGAGATCTGGACGCGTTAGTTTATCTAGATATAGATGGAGTTAGTGATAGAGTTATGTTGAAATTAACCGGCACAGCATTGCCGCCCAACATACATCTGAATCTCGAAACTCTCGATATGAGTTCAGTTTATATCAATATACTTTATAATTATGAAATAATTGCAATTAATAAAGGTTCGTTTTCTAAATCGTACATATTTAAATTTCAGCTAGCACGAGTTTTATTTCATTGTTTTTAGTAAAATGAGAGTATTAGTAGAGAGAGTAGAGAACATTGTTATTACAAAGCGAATATTTATATCGTACCTGTAAGTCTATGCCCACTTCTAGGCTATCCTCTACATATGTCAGAATTTCATCGAGATTTGTTCAGCTGTTTAGGCTACAAACTCTAACAAACATTCATCCACCCATCCAAACTTTCGCATTTATAATATTAATAAAACTAAATTTAATTTTAAATAGGTCATATAAATGGTGTTATTGCATACAAAGATGTAGTAACACTTTTCGGAAGCAAAATAACGTGTACTCCGGAGTACAGGTGTTTGAGACCCGGTGAAAAGGACATTTTTGTTGTTTCCTTCTTTAATTCTAACCCTGGTCCATTCTTCGAAGAGATTAATTTTGTCATACGCGACACGGACGTTAAACTAAAAGTCTATTTAAAGTAAGAAACACTTTAATTATTGAACACTATTTTTAGTAAATACTGAACATTAACTGCCACTCTATGGCTTGTTCAAATCTATTATTAAATAGACCCTTAGCCATAACAAAAAAGATTCTGTTATAGTATTTTTTTATGTTTCTTCATTGCCTTGAGCTTTAACTGTTGTATGTAACTGTAAAAATATTTCTTAGTTTAATATGACTGACATTTTACAGAGGTACCGTTATCTATCCGTCAATAAAATTCAGTGTGCCTTCGTTGGACTTTGGTGACGTGAGTTTAGGTAAAGTTAATTTATGCCGGATTCCTGAAGTTTTCATTTATATTATCATTACCCAGTGATTCATTAGTGACTTATGATTCAACGCAGTAAAATGGAAGTTATATAGATCTGAAACGCATTGCATGTAGTTATCGAATTAAAAACACTAACGAATTGTTAAAAGTAGCTTGGAAACCGGGTATTAATCAAATTTATTAAGGTTTTAGTTCAACTTCTTAACATTTTTTTTCATTTCAGGTGTTCCTAAAACACTATTACTGGACATAATAAATGAATCCAATGTACTGGTTTCGGGTACTGTTTCCATACCATCAGACGGCTTGGAAATCAGGAGCATCACGTTGACAGATTACGCTGTAAATGACATCTCTAAACCGGAGTTGCCAACAATGCCGCAAGAATTTAAAATCGAACCCAAGAAAATAATTATTGACCCCGAATCTATTTTTACTGTCAAGGTATGAAATTAAAGTATTTAATCTTGCGCATAATTTAAATGTTTAGAATTAACCACTTTTTTAAAAAAAATTGTTACGAAATTCTAGAACTGTACTCAAACTTCTTGCGACTGTTCATATTTTGGGATTGTCAAGGAGGAATATTGAAACTTCATAAATATAAGGGCTTCATAATTAAGAGGGTGTTAAATGATAAGGCCACGCTTTATTCTCCTATATTCTCCAACTCCGAATTTTATTAAAATCTTGCTGACAGATTATAAGCAGCACTTACGATGTGAAGTATTTAAGATTCGTTTCAATGATCGTCTGCCGATCATTTAAATCACTATCTTATTAGATCACGCTGACGGCAAATTTAATAAGAAACAATAGTACATCATTCGAGTTGGAATTTGAGAAGTCTGACAAGAGACCGATAGTGTTGCCAGTGACGTACAATGCTATGGTGCCGCAGATTATACCCGCACCTGATTTACACCTGAGAGCGTGTTTCAGAGGCTTCCCTTATGTTAATGATGTAAACATACAATCTAATAATTTCCTAGGGTACTTTGTTGTGGAAGAACCTGAGGTAAGTGATTTAGTAAGAGCCTACTGTAACGTTTCATGATCAAATATTTTTTTTGTTACTTTAATTATTTTTTGCAAATCTTGTACTACTCATAGTTACTATGTTATGTTTTAGGAATCAATATTTAATGTTATTATTGATGTAAAAGAAGGTTATATAGAACCAAACAGCACAACATGTTTCAAGCTTACGACAACGGCTACTGCTCTCGGTTCCCATGAATTTCCTCTACGGTTAGTTCGCTTGCTATTTTTACTGTAACAGTTCAAATCATTTTCAGTTAACCCATTTAACAGAATTCTTTAAAAATACACCATAAAACATAACGAAAAGAGGTCTAGGTGGAATAGTTTTAGCGATGTTGCACTGCTGTTTATTAATAGTTTTGTTTCTGGATTATTTGTTTACATCTGTTGCATGTAATATCTACTGGTAATATTTAACTGTATTAAAATGAATTGGAACACCTATGTATTGTAAACTTGGCTTTAGTTCGTTCAAGGTCAAATTGTAGTAATTTTAAAAATGTGTTATTCTTTTTAATTTGACCAGGTTACGTCTTTTCGGTGTACCAGACCCGATACAAATATGTTTTGTAACTGGTTACGGAGTCAGTCCGATAGTAACTTGCAGTCCGACGTTCCTGCACTGGGGCCAAGTGAAATTGTTAAAGAAATCACAAAAAACTTTAATACTATGCAACGATTCGCCAGTTAAAGTGAATTTTAGGACGTATTGGGTAGGTATTCTTGAACTAACTGAATACGTAAATCTGAACAATTTTTAGAAAACATGAGTCGATCTTATGTTGATCATAAATTTTCTCTAAAATTAGGAAGTAATTTTTTAGAAGGGATTTATAAGAAGTTAGATTTCTTTTTAATATTTAAACTGTTTTCTAGTTTAACCGCGAGAATAAATGGCAAATAGAACCCGAAGAAGGCGTTGTGGAGGAAGAATCAGAGATTAATCTGACAGTGAGTTTGACTCTGGTGGATGCAGAAACCTATAACAATAAAGTTGTCATACAATTGGAAGATACGAAAGATATCGTGAGTAATAGGCATTCAACATTTGCCACTTGCAAAATTTTTACCATGTAATTGTGTATTTTTGACGCTTTCTTCTAAGTCCAGAAAAACAAAAGTAATATTGCAATTGTTTTACTTAAATTTATTAAATTTCTTAAATCTTTAGACCTTGGCAAACCAGATTTTCTATAAATCTGAATGAGTAATATGACATACACCAGTTCTACTCAAATTGCATATCATGCATGCATAAATGTGTATTTGGTTTGTGTTAATTTTTATTGTAAATATTAAAACTAAAAACATAAGTATTAAACTGATCAACAACGTTTCAGTTTGTCCCATTGACAGTGACGGGAGTGGGTACGAGCATAGTGATAGGAGACTTGGGAGACAAGATTGAACTCGGACACCATTTCACTCGCATCCCGTTGAATTGTAAAATAATGATGGAAAATAAGGGCACGCGCCTTCACGCCTTGGAGTGGAGCGAACATTACAAGACGCCGAAAAACAAGCAACATGCACTGTATGAATGACGTATTTACTTATTATTTAAAAAAAAACTTTTGATTTTTGTTTTTAGTCACCAAAAAATTTCTCAATGTTTTGAGGAGTCTCTTTTTAATTTCAGAGCATTTTTTAACTTAGAACCCAGGTCTTTTAAGATGAATGCCGGTGAACAGTTGGAATTGACAATAACTGGTCTTTCGCATAAAGTGACCGTAGTGAAGGAAATATGGTACTTAGTGGGCAGCATCGAAGGTATTAACAAGAAGGAACTATTGCTGGAATGCAAAATTACCGCAGAGTTTGTTGATCCTAAAATAGAAATATCTACGCCTTCAATGGAGTTCCAATATGATAATGGTCCTTACAATGAGTATTATAGATTAACAGGTAAATAAATGTTAATTGTTGACTTGAAATTTGAAATTTGTTGACAAACGAATTCGATTGATTAATTCGATCCAAATTGATGAATACAAACTAATGAATATATGTTGTTTTCAGACATTCTCATAATAAAAAATGTATCAACATTGCCGTTGGATTTAGAGATTACTATAAAACCACCATTTGCTTTAATACAAAAGCAGAGTTCATACAAAATTATACCTGGCGAGGAGGATTTTTGTCACTGCATAACTTATACGGAGTCCGATTTGAAATTGTGTAATATAACAGCTGATAATAATCGGGAAGAATCAACTAAATTGATAGATTTCTTAACACTGCAACCAGTTTATCCATTACGTGAGGGGAGCTTGCAGTTTTTTGAAGACATTCACAAGATAAAACGTATTTTCAACTTGACTCATATTATTGAGGAACACTTGGAGGACCAAGAAATGATGAAAGTACAAGCTTTATTCGACACAACGAAACACACGTCTTTGAAGGCTCGCATCTATAGTGATGCTATCAAAATAAAATTTAAGGGTCATAAGAACAAGGTTAAACTATGGATAATTTCTTTGTCGTATAAAACAAATGAAATGTATAACACCTCTTAATACATAACAGCTATGAACATCGTTATATGACTGAATTGTCGATGAGGAAACAGTTATTGTCCCATTTAGTGCAGAACAGTTTCCTGGCTCACGAACTAATTTTTAATATCTTGTATTTGAGAATGAACTATTGCTAAAATAGATAAAAATATTACAGGATTCCGTAAAAGTTATCGGAAAAATAAATTTCCCTAACATACTTGTGTTAACACCGAGGATTGATTTTCAATGTCTACTAAATGATGATATTGAAGGAAAGTCTATAAAAATACAAAACGTCACCCCACTCATTGCTTGTTACCAGCTGAGTTGGAGAAAGATCTTAATATCACCGATTGCATCCGTAAGTCTCAATTTCTTTTTCATCATTATTTAATCATCATTTAAATCATAATTTAGGATATCGACAAACTTATTAACATTTTGTCTAACGTCATCCCTCTGAAATGTGAATAAAATTTTAACATGGTAAAAACATCTTTTTTAGACTATGTCTGGACCTAATTTACAAGAAATTGACGGTATACCGATAAAACCTGAACATAGTCGTGAGTATGAAACATGACCCGTTAAGTATTTGTATGATTATTTGTATTTCATTAATAACTTTTCGATTTCAGCCGCATTGTCCAGTACAGTCGCACCTTATCGAGGCGATCTATTGTCTTATAAAATGATTAATACCAACAGTTCAACTGCCACAACAATAGAAATAGAACCAGAGTCAAAACTCAATATGAAATTAAAAAATACAGTTCTGAAAGTGGCTTTGCCAATGATAGATGATCAATTTGAACCGAAGTTTAAATGGTTACACAAATTCCCTGAGACAACAGAGGTTGAAGGTGATCTCTTTAACAGTTTGTTGATATTAATACCTCATAGAGGTAAATTGAAGCCAAATGAAGTACAGTATATAAATGTGATGTTTCGACCGAGAATCAACATGAACGTCAGAGGTATAATAGAATGCCAAGTCCTCGGAGGACCGACAGAATACATAACCGTGACTGGACAATCGTCGTATCTGATGTACACTCTCAGTACTACAAAAATAAATATGAAAATAAGATCATTCCATGAGAACGCATTTGAATATTTGCGTATTATAAATAAAGCTCTTTTACCTTTTGAATTTAGAACTTATTTGAATGAGCCGAAATTCGAAAATGATTTATACGGAACGATTTTGGATATTATTCCCGCTGATAAGTTATTACAGTCTGAAGAAACGACCGATATAAAAGTTTACACGAGACCTGGAGTACTGGGATATTTTAAGAGACAGTTTTTATTGGAAATCGGACATTTGCCTGTGATTCCAATAAAAGTATACGGTTGGGGAGTGATACCTCAAGTTTATTTGTCAATACCGAGACCCTATTTAAGTGAAGTTAGTATTACAGTGAATGTATACAATTATCTATCAGTATTTACTCTTCTTTTCTCACCAATAATGCTCTATTAGCAAAGTTCATTTTAGAGCAGTAAGTAACGTAGTTTGTGTGATTTTAGGCTGATCCCGAGCTGGGTTACTTCGCAATCGCCACGTTGACAGACAGATATCTTGAATCTTTGAATGCAATGTTTAAGAAACATGTATCAGAACATTTAAACTCACCGTTAGTTGAAAGATGTTTTGAAGATCCAATATTTACAACAGACTGGCATTTGTGCTCTGTATTGGTTAGTTAGAAATCGTGAATCTTTTAATACTTTACAGCTAAGGTTCTAATATGCGAAGAGACGACGCTGCAGTTTTCACTTACTATGTTCAGATTATAAAAAATCTGTACAATTCCAGGACGCGTATCCATCTGTAATGGATATAGAAATGGGAATAGAAAGGATATTAGTAATGAATTATCTAAAGTTGCATCCAGAAATAGTCGCCACGCATTCCACTTCTAGTAAAACAAGGCCGATCGCGGGATTTAATACTGTTCCCTATATAATAGATTACGGTGTAGTTATTACTGGATGTACGGTAAGGTTCACGTTACGATAATATTAATGTAATTTGTAGTATCCATTTTTATTAACTAGATTTCAGTTTAACACATTTACAATTTTGATTAAGAATAGAATCCAAATATTGATTTGCTTTCTTGTATGTGACATTACCAGGTTGACTACACTATTGAAGTGTTTAACTACGGGCCGTTGGTCACCAAACTGCATCTGAGCAAGAACACAGTTGTTCCTGATTGGTTAATTTTAAAACTATGTGGAAAATTGAGTCCGGGCGAAGTCGGCCATATTGATATAACATTTAACTCTGACAGTGAGAATTTTCCCGAACCGGAACAGAATGTTGAAGTTTCAATTAATTTAGAGGTGAAATATCTTACATTTAATTTCTATAGCATTATTCTTATAACTGTTTTTTTGGTAAAGATGCAACAAATGTCTTTTATTGTAGGTACCGTATGGCGTCACGATTCCAGTTAAATTTAAGGCTCTATGCGCAGTTCCTTATTTGGTATCCAGTATTCAATCAGTTGATTTTGGTTCTGTTAAATGTGGCAATAAAGTTATTTATTCAATACCTTTGAAAAATGTGTAAGTTGGAATTAATTTTATTTGTAAACGATTCCTAATTTTTATAACTAAAGTATTAGTTAATATCGTTATTGATTTTATCAATACCAAAGTCTATTTCTGAAATTAATACGTTCACTGAAGGATACTTCGTATTACAAATAACATGATATAAAATAAGTTTTTATTTACAACAGAGGAAAGCCTGTATGTATATGGTACGCAACATTGAAGCTCAAAAGCCCCGGCATCAATCCCATAACGATACTGGACAGTTCGGGAAAATATGAACCCGGAGAGAGCGATTGGTTTAGCATTGCTTTCAAGCCGACAGTGGAGGTTTTTAAGTCTACATATTTAGTAAAGTGAATTTTCTGGTTGAAAATGAAGTAAATTTTATATTTCAGATGACATACGAAGGTTTAATAATATTTAGATTCCATATGAATCCAAAACGTATGACTATACCTTTCATAGGCAATGGGGTGATGCCGCAAGTGCATATCATTGGACCGAACATAAGTTTCCCACCGACTTTACCGTGGGCTGAAACTACAGAACATTTTTTTGGACTCACCAATCCTTGTCCGTTCCCTATAGAACTTATTATAGCTCATAGCGATACGTGAGTAAATAATAAAATAGTTCTTAAGAAAAGATGTACAGATTGTGTTTAGCTATAAGCTATAGAGACGGAATCTGAGACGAAGTTTAATTTTGGCTTTTAAGCCAGAAACGTTCAGTGCCGACCATAAAAAGCACTTCCTCCTTATATTACTCCCAGAGGGTCGGCGCAACGGGTTTTTGTCGTCCACATAACTTTATTATACGTCATTTCAGTAAACACTCCCTTCTTGATCATGTCACCTTTCACGCAATCCTCTTCGACCAGGATTAATATGACGCAATAAGACAGGAATAGGTTTTAACATGAACAGCTACTTGCCATGCAAGAACAATTTCATACGTAAAAGTAAAATAAAATAAAAGTATAAAAGTAAATTATTAGCTATATGAGTATTGTTTTATGATTATACATTTCTAGAAAATGGCGAGAAGAAGAGGAAGTTTATCAGATGTTAGAAAGATATTACAACAAACCGGAAGAGATGCTAGTTCCCGCAATGAAACCCGGCACTGAATTGCCTTATGAAATAATTAACTTCTATAAGAAAGTCAAAGAACATGTGAAAAAGTAATATTAAATTAAACAACCACATTATTTTTTGGTAATGATTTACATTGTAACTAAAAATAATTTTCAGATATCTAGACGAGGAAGCTGCGGGTACCAAATCGGCCGCAGTCAGAGCAGCATCGACTAAGTACATTTTATTTTTATCCAATATCGAACTTAAATAATTCCCTATCCTACAACCAATATAAGTATTATTTTTGTTTATTTATTATAAATATTAAATAGTAGTTAAAATAAATTAATAACGATATTTTACATTTTCTTTCCGTTTAGAAAAATAAAAAGTCCTAAAAAAACACCTCGATCACTCGAACCATCGCCAAAACGACAAAGAACCGAAGCTGAAATAATGGCAGGTTCGTATAGTTATATATTATTTTAGCTTAATGTATGATAAGTTTTATAAAACATCATTTTACATTTATAAAATACATTGTCATTCGTATATTTATCAACATTTACATTTATTAAAAAAAACTTTTAATTTACCAATGGTTGAAAATACTCAAATTAACAAAAATCACCAATCTTTTATGATTTTTATTGTAGGTAGTTGATAGATCTTACTGGTAAATCTTAGGAATCACCAAAGTTCGGGCCTTTACAGTAACAAAAAAAATGATTCATTAGAGAGACAGATAGAAATCATCACCTTGAAATTGAATTAAACTGTTCATGATAATTTTGTTTCAGACGAGCTACGTTTAATGAAAGAAAATAAAATTGATCCACTACAGGAGTGTTTACACGAGAATACATACAAAGATACACAAAGTGAAAGACAGACTAAAGGTCTAATTGTTTTCTTTCACGGTTCTCCAGCCGAAGGTAAATTTACTGTCCACCTTGAAACCGACACCTGAGAGTCGTTTTCAAGTCACAACTAAACGATATTCGCAATTATATATTAATATTGTGGTTTTATTTTAGAGGGGCAATGTCAAGAAATTGCATATTCAGTGGGAAAACATCTAAAATTGCCTACGATAAGTGTTGACATGTGCTTTGTTGAGGCTCTTTGCATCAGCAATTCGGCAGCCAAAGAGATTTTGGTTAAAGTTATAGACGAAATGTATGATATTTCTAGAATAGGAATGAGGAAAGAAGATGGAGGGGAAACAGAAGCGGATTTGGAAGGTACAAATATTTTTTTACTGTAATAATCACTTTGTACTCATTTATTCATTATTTTATTAACTAGATTCATAAACGTAATTATTGTAGTTCTTCGATGTAACAATGGTTACAGATGCTTAATATAAAATCGCAATATGAAACACATTAAATGTACTTTGTTATGATGTGACAACAGTTTCAGTTAATATTTTTTTGTTATAGAATTGTTCGACGATGGTGATGAATTTGAAACATTATTAAAAAAGCTGGACGTTATAACAAATAGCAAATCAATCGCAACTCCAAAATCAAAAGCCAGTGACAAAAAGAAGAAGAGATCAGCCTCGTCTTTTGTATCGCAAACTTTACTGGACGCCATGGGATCTACGACGATGTTTAATTTGGTACTATGTTTACTATTCATTATCATGTCACCGTTTCTTGTTTAGACGATATTGAGCCAGGAGGCTAAATCATGGAAAAGTTAGAAACTTGTTTTGGCTTGTAATAATGAAACTCATATTTTGCAGGAATTAATTCAAGACCTAATGACAGACTACTTTGATCAACCCAAATACAATCGAGGTTTTGTTATTGATTCACTAACTAGTTTCATATTCAAAAGTCCTCCTGTTGTACTCACGACAGTTCTTAAATGCAAATCTTCGATAGCGGATATACACTTGGTCTTGTGTCACTCTAGCTTCACTAAATGGGCTCAATTATTCGAAGATTCGCAAAAAGAGGAAGATTTATTGGAAGAGTGAGTTGAAATATTAGAGCACCTAACTTTTATAAAGTAAATTTTATTAATACAATTGTTCATTTAATGAGGATTAAAAATAATTATGTAATGTTCTAGAAATATCCCAAAGGTATATACTGAAGATGAAATAAAAGCAATAGTGGAGGAATTTGAAGATATGAGTTGCGAAGAATACGAGAACTCGAATCCTGAGTTAAAATCTGTATTCATTTCCTATGGCTTGGCAGAAAGACGTAAGAAGTATCTGTCAAGGAAAGGGTAATTTGAATTTAAAAATACACTGCAGTATGTCAGATCCGAAGTTTTGTCCATGAAACCTTATCGCTGATAATTTTAATTATTTAACATTAATCATTTAATTACAGAACCTCAGATGACATTACGAAGAGAGACAGGGATGGAAAAGGTTAGTTTTACTGTATATTAATATGCAATGACAAATCTTCCTCATTTTAATATAATAAAATATTATACAGATCGTAGTGCCAGATCTCTTGTACCAACTGTTAGCGGCGATGAGTCAAAAAAGAAAGCGAAAAAGGAAGATGTAAAAGGTAAACCAAGTTCAAAATTGCCGAAAACGTTACGCCCACTTTCTATAGAATTGCGTGGAACATGCAGTAAAATCTGTTAACGTGAATGGCATTTAATTATATTTTATCATTTCAGCAAAGCCAAATAGCGAATATATGGCAATGAATGTTAAATATAATGAATATCATAAAAATGTCTACGACAGTTTGATCAATATTGCAAATAACTGGATAGTGGATCAGTGTGACATGGGATATCCGCTCATTGGACTTAACGGACAGATCGTACATTCAAGTCAAAAGAAAATAAAAAAGAAATCCGAAGTATTGATTCAGGTATTTGAAATGAATTTGTAAAATTAATACTAGTTTTGTGTCAAGTTCTAAAGGGTCAAAAATAGTTCATGAGATGAAGGGAGTTAAAATTCATCCGAAAAGTTAACTAACAAATTTTTCAGACATCAGAAGAATCATTTACTGGACGAGGATTTCCACTGACAATTCTCATGTGCCCTTGTTCAGAGTCTAAGCTTGCTCTGATAAATATGTTCCTTAACTCCGAAACTGTGATAGAGGCCTTAAGGAAAGAAGAGAAGATCGATACTCTTAAATACCCTATCAAGAAAAAGGAATATTCGGTTTTACTTCCAAAATCTTTTCCGACAATCCATGACGAGGAATCGCTAGCGTGGCGCTATTTAGATGAATTAGCTGTAAGTCGTACTTATTAACTAAAAACTACCAAAATTGTCCTTAAAGATACATAAGTCCTATCTTATTTTAATTTACTGACTTAGATATTGGTCTGAATTATTCTGTACTGGCTATTGTACCATTACTAGAATTTATACCAAATCAAGTAACGTATAAAGTATGACTATTCTCTAAATTAATTTTAATTCCAGATAAAAAAATGTGAATGCAATCTGATCAATGATCTCAGCATAATAGATGATTTATGTCAAGATAATGTTTTAAATATACTATCTAAATGGCACTGCACTTGTGGTAAAAAGGTAATAATAATTACAAAATAATAATAATACTCCTAATACATTCTCAAATATTAATAGTTGAACAACTCAATTTGTAATACTTAGGTAACTTCGTCGCAAACTTCTACAACTGAGATACCGTTTACATCGTCGACACGAATTTCTACCGAAAAAAGCGAAATAGACATATTTTATCCATTACCTTTGGGTAAAGTTAAATCTACAACCGGTTAGTTCACTTGTTATAATTTAATGTTATGCAAAATAACCTGATAAAAAATCCCATCTCTTATGACTTCTACAGACAATTTTTGACCCATTGTCATACACCAGACAGCAAAGTGGTGTCGCCACGCTCCGCATTATGCTACGCGACTATCCGATTTGCTACGTAAATTAACGTTATTCTACGTTTGCGCCTTAAGAAGTATCATGATGTGCTATACAGTTTATTTTTTAATTTTAGAACGGGACCAGCGGATTGTGTTACAACCAGGCGATTTAGTAAGGTGTAAATATACATTTAGCCCAAAGATTGAAGGGAATTTTAATTTAAAACGATACGTGGAAGTCAAAGGATGGCCTGCATCGCAAGTAGTGATAACTGTTGGTGGCATTTGTGATGTACCAAGGTTAGATCTTTTACCAAATATTTTAGTTTATAATCCCTGCGTAATAATACTTTAATTATAAAGCATTTTAGTTTTCCTTATATTTATTGTTATTCTTTAATTTTTAAAATGTCTGTTCAACTTTGCAGATTGGACAGTCGTCCGAAAAAAATGTTCAAAGATTTTGTAAGAAGAACAGTAGAAGAAAAGATATATAAAGTGACATATTTAGACGATGCTAAAGTATTTCAATTTGGTCCAATATTCACAGGCGCACATCGGTTAATACTACGTTATCTTTTAAAATTAAACTATTTTTTAACTGTCTAGCTTTTAAAAACCTATAATTTCACTCATCCGATAAAACTATCGACGTCATAAGTCACAGTCAAAAAGTTTTTAATTTCTTAACGCTATTTAGGCGCTGCCTTGTGTTTTTTATGTTGTATACCTTGACTTTTTTTCGTTTAGAATATATGAAGAAACGTATACAATTGATTTGAAAAATTCTTCCTTGATCACCGCTTTCGTTGAGGTGGAATTTCTAGGGGAAACTGATGTTTTCCTCTTTGATCAGCGCCGCTTAACGTTGGAGGTAAATTATACAATTAACAAGTTATAGTTAAACTAAAAAAAATATCGTAGTACTAAAAACAATGTTTCTTAGCCGGAGAGTCGAGGGAAATTAACAATATCAGCTGCGCCGGCGGAGGTGGGTGAGCATAAGAACGTTCTCATGTTTTGTGTCAAAAACAATCCGGAGATCGTGACGGTGAATATAGCTTGCAGCGGAGTTGTACCGATAGTTGAAGTTTTACCAAGCACCAAAACTATTGGTAAGTATCCTTTACATTGGTATTGTTACGTTTTACACTATTTTACATTTTTAAAGTAAAATGTCTCTATTACGCCAAAAACTATAAACATTTACAATTATTAATCTTCGCAGATTATGGTAAACATTTACTTTACCGTCGCAAAGATGATAGATTTATCGTCAAAAACGATTCCATTTTACCAATAAAATGGAAAATAAGAAACGCTGATGATTTCTTGGAAGATTTTATAATATCACAAACGTCCGGTATTATACCTAGATATGACAATCAAGTTGTTCCTGTAACATACATCGCTTGTCGAGTGGGAGTCATATCACACAAAATGTTGACAGTAGATGTGAGTATGTGAAAATCTATATCTATATACCTACATATAATAAAATTGGAGCGTCTGTTTGTAATATCAAAAGAAAATTCCAGATTTCGGGAAGATGATGTATTTGCGTTGCTAACAACAAAAATCGCATTTATTTTTTTTGTCTGTCTGTCTGTCCGCTAGCCGCGTTTGTTCCGGGTAATCTTCGAAACGGTTGGACCGTTTTGGACCAGACTTTCACTAAAGGGTTGCTGGAAAACTATTTAAGTTTATTTTTGGTACTTTCTTACTGTCAAGTGTTTCTTTAGATATATGATGCAGAAGGACGTGGCGAGCCAATGATAGTTGATTCCTTATATCTCTCGGCTGAATGCTATGACGTGATGGTAGACTGCGCTTACGAAAATCCAGCAGAAAGCTTCCTCAATTTTGGAAATGTTAAAGTCAATTCGACAGTTGCGCGTGAAATGTATTTATTTAATCGCGGAAAATACAATATCTTCTACAAGTAAGTCGTACGATTGTTGCTAATAAAAGATATAGAAATACTTAACGTTATTGCTATTTGAATTATGTATAATTCAAACTATCGACTAGTCTATTAAATTTTGCAGGTTGAAGAAAGTTAAGAATTTCCCAGAACCAGCTTTATTGAAATCTTTCGAAGTTAGTCCAGAAAGTGGAATGTTGCCCGCTACGACTAAACTGGTCGCTGTAGAGTTTGAATGCACGCCCACCACTTCATTGAATTTGGTTAACGTTCCTGCCTACACTTGTACATTGTTAGATGGTAGCAAAACTCAAATGATTGTCGCTAAATTCCCAATCTGTGTGACAATTGCATCGTTTTATAACACGTAAGTATGACTTATTTCCAAATATATTTAAAATAATCAGATAACGGATGGTGTGGTATGTTAACTGGTACTCATTTTTCAGTTTTACCCTTTTTCCTTTGGGTGAATTGAATTTCCATGTTCTACCAGTTGGGGAGGGTGTAAAAAGAGACGTCATCTTAAACAACACAAGTAAATGCCCATTTATATATGAAATAATTTTACCGCCTGAATATCAAGTGGACCCTGATGCTGCGCCACCACCAAAATTAAAAGATAACAAGTACGTCGAAATAATATTTACTTTTGATTATTATAATACAAGGATATTTACCTCATTTGGTTCAGAAAATTAAACAACATACTGAGCTATCATAATTTAATTTGACTTATGCCCACCGGGTCAGTTAACTTATCCATCTATACATATGTGCTTCATTTGTTAAAAGTATTGGTTGCGTAGAATATTTCTATTTACAGAATAAAAAATCCACCACTGAGATGCGGAAACTTTGTAATAATGAACGAAGACAATCTTCTAGCTCCTTCCACGAGCAGAGTTATTCAAATACAATTTTTAGCAACAGCTCCAAAGAAATTTGAAGAAACTATACATTTTGTCGTGAGCGATACTTGTCCCGCTGAAGCTAATGGAGTTCCGTTAAGACTAGTGGGAACTGGAGCTCTACCAATACTTGACTTTTGGAATTTGGAAACAACATTTAGAGAACACATGATTGTTAAAAATCTATCAGAATATCCAACACCAGAGGTAATACAGTAAAATTTTTATCCTTTCGACTAATATCTTGAGTAAAATAATAAATGTTTTTCAGTCTTCACCTCATTGTGTTTTCGTTGAAGACATCGTGACATTATATTTCTACGGCGTTGTCGTGAACACAAGTCACACGGGAGCACTGGATTTGTACAACAGTGGATTAGTACCCTGCGCTTTGACAATGAAGTTACACTACCAAAAGAATACTAACCAAGAAATATTATACTTAGATAAATATGAAACTCATATAGAACCGTTGATGCACAAAAAATTGAATATTATATTCAATCCGAAAGCTTTAGAGGTAAAAAGTTACTAGTATAAATTATTCTAAACGAATTTAGATTATAAGAACAAGATAATGCTTTTTTTTATTTTTTTAAGGATTACAGAGCAGTGTTAGAAGTTAATTTAAAGAAATTAGAGGGCCAAACTCAAAGTTTTCGAATATGTGTCATTGGAGAAGGGGTAATACCTAGGATTCATTTAGTGACGCCTCAAGTGAAAAGTAACAGATTTACGATACTACAATTTCCGGTTACATGCTTGGGTTCTGTCAGCAGTCGGCATGTATCGTTTAAGAATATAAGTCCTGTGAATGCCAAAGTTGTGGCAGACATTTTATCATCAATGGATGAAGGGCGGCCATTGTTTTGGCTCACAGCTGCCCCAGATACTGATTTCGTAGTCCTCGACGGGAACAATGGTAATTTTAAATTTTAGAGTCAAGAATATTTATGATATTTGGACAATGTGATGTGCCATTTAATTATTTTTCAGATAATGTGAATGTAACCTTGAAAATATCAATTAAACCAAATGAAATTGTAACACTTTACGTACATTTCAGTCCGTTACAAAAAGGGAAAACGCACTGTGATATTGTACTTTCTGTTGTTAATAATCCATTTGAAAAGTATACGGTAATATTTAAAAGATTAGAAGGAAAATATAACATACATTTAGTATTTATGTGTGATATAATTTAACGCACTGTTAACAGATATTATCTGAAGCCGAAGCATTTATGGAAGACGTAATATTAATGGGACTTGAAATGATATCGATGGACATCGACCTGGATACGTATAAATATTCAGAAAGGTATGTAAGACATTTCCTATGTATAAATCTATAGACTAAGACAACGAAAGAAAGATTAATATTTTAAAAAAGAACATTAGAAGAGAAAATACTGTTACGCTGACTAAATGGGAGTAGAATAAGAACTAGGAAATGATGATGTAATCTAGTAGCCAACAAACTTTCAGATCAACAATATCAACAACAGATACGAGAAGACGAAGCAAATCTTCATCGGACAAAAAGAAATTGAAGTTTACAGATTCGAAGAAAAGTAAAAAGGTTTCTCAAGCATCTATAAAACATAGTGAAAGCGACTCTTTCGCTGAAACTCCAGTTCTTAAATATCTTTTGGATTTAGGTATGCTTTTCTAACATTAAACTGCTAAACCTGTTTAACTGTTAATAAAATTTATTACCGTTTAATTTTAGGGGGCTGCCAATTATGTTTTACACAAAAGAGATCAATAATAATGATGAACAATTCCGAAAAAGTGTATAAATTTGTTTGGGTCGATTGCGACTATGTTATTGTAAGACCTTCTACGGGATACATATCTCCAGGCGAAGAGAAGGACTTAGAAGTTATATTCTATTCTTCACAGCCGATTGATCTTGAAAAGGTAAGAAACATAGTTATCTTTAACATGAATTATGGTATTTGAATATAACTTTGAATTGTTTGTTTCTTTATTCTCTATTTGTATTCACTTAAGATCTCCGCGTTGTTTTGTTAATTTTACTGAACATTTCAGGAGATTGTAACTTGTTCGTTAACAGTAGTTAGTGATGATTCTTTGACGGCCGATTTGAGAGAAATAACGTGGGATAATAGACAAACAATGACCTTATTTAATCGTAACAGGTAATAGTAAAACGAATTTAAAACCTACTCACTCTTGGAGTGACAATAAGTTAAAGGGTATAAGTACAAATGTATGTTAACGGAACTTTAACAAGCATTGCATTTTTTAGAGATGCACACATAAATGAAAGATGTGATACGATAATAGAAGATCAAACGTCATCAATAGCGAACGAATTAACTGGAAATATTACTATAGTCATTATTTATTCAGTCAAAACTGAATACACGAAATATAAATGTGATTTAGAAGAAGAGAAAACTTTACAAGACACATTTATTTACCAGGTTTATCAGCGTTTGGTTTTATTCCTGCTTTATTTTTTTTTTCGTGTTTTAACATTTCTTTCTTTTGCAATATATTTTTAATTAATACTTTTATGCTTTGTAGAAAAGAAGTTTTGATTTCAAAGTGGAAAATATAGGAAGAGTAGCTATGAAAATTTTATGGAATTTCATTGTAGATGACGAATTTCCTGTTAGAATTAAGAAGAATGCTTTGAAGGTAGGATTATATGTCTACATGATGACTAAGATAATAATTTTTAATGTACTAAAACAAAATATGTTTTTATTTAGGATGCCCCGACAGGATCGTCTGAGAGTTTACACAAAACCAATGAAACCGAGACAGGTGTTGTAGAAAGGGTTATTGAACATATTAATAATGGTAATTATACATACAAGAATACATTATCTTCAATACCGAAGTTTCTTTACTGTAACTCTTTTATTGTTCTATCAGATCCTAGCAAGATGACATTATTCAGTGGCAGTTTAAGCCGAGACAGTGTGGATACTTGGTTTGAAGTTGATTTACCATTCCACATTGAACCCGAGAAAGCATGTTTAAATCCTAATGAAAGTCAAATCTTCAAAGTAACTTTCTCACCGCAAGATGCATTCTTGTTTAAAGTTAGATTACAAAGCACTATAGGTAAGTATCATAAATTCCATGGTATCATACATTCAAAAGTGTTAGTGTATAATATAGAGTTTAGATTTACAGACTTAAAATTTCAGATAATTTAGATCCTTACGATCAAAATATAACTTGCAAAATGACAGCTAGATCATTCATACCATACGTACATCTTGATATAGAAGAAAGTGATTACTTAACATCAGGACAGAGGAAGGCGACAGGAACATTACCTCCGCATACAATGGTGTTAGAATTTAAAGTCCTTGGACCAGGATGCTATAAGAAGTAACCTTTTTTTCCTATGGCTATTTAACATATAATAGTTTCTTAATTAAAATATTTATTTAGATTAACCATAGCATTTTATTATCAAATAAATCTTCGGCCCACTTTAGGTTAGTGCAAACTCTAGTTGGGGTTCCTTTCATAAGAGTAACATTCATCTAAACTGTTATTTCCTTCCAGATCGTTCAGTGTAATTAATCCTACGAGTCAATCGTATGAGTTCATATTCGAAGTAGTGATGTCAGAAGCACAAGAATTTGTTCCCGTCCATTGTAATAAATTAAAAGGTTATGTGGAAGGCGGTACATCAACTGATGTTGTATTTTCATTTTCACCGACAGATCCTGGGGTAAATTCAACATTATTTACACATTATAATTACTCAAGAATAATTACTATTACATTGTCAAGAATTCATATGTATTGGATGATTTCAGATTTACGAATCCCAATGGAAATTTTTAATTCCTATCCATTCGCTGGTAATAAATTTACTAGTTGTAGGTTTTGTAAGGGAATCGAACGTTGCCTTCGTGCCGACGATTTTATTAATAAGAAACTCTCTGGTTGGATTTACAAGTGAAAACGTGGTGAAATTAAAGAATAACGAGGATGAATGTCTAACATTTGAATTTAAAGGGAACTCGCTATGCGATGAATCCGGAGAAACGCCAGTGGTGATAATGCCTGAACGTGGAATATTAAAACCACACTCTGAAACCCCGATCAAGTAAGTAAAAATTGGCTATTGCATGAAGAAGTTTCTAGTTTTTCTTTGCTCATGTTCTTTTAGCGATTATCATAATATTGTTTACATTGTTAATTAGTTAATGCCTAGTTTATTTGAGCGTTATCATCATTTATTCGCTATGTTAAAACTTTGCATGTTTATGTTTTCAGTATAATTTATACTCCAATACACGATGGTCCGTTATCATTTAAGATATTCTGCAGTGTTAAACATATGACAAAAGTGTTAACGTTATGTGTTAATGCTCTGAGCTACTCTATCAAGCCGATAGTTACGTATTATCTTATTGGTAATGAACACACACTTAAAAGTGAAGCTGTTACGAATATTCATTTAGATAAGGTATGGTAATTGACTTATCATATATCGCTTTATACAGGTAAAACTAGGACATAATCATTGCTTTCCGTTAATTTGTTCCTTCCTGTTCCTTCGACAATTTTATTATGTTTTTTCATGACTGTATTGTCAATTAGACTGCATCAACCTACGAAAGGACAGTTCCGTTCAAAATAAAGAACGATGGTTCCGCGACGTTTTTCTTCGAGTGGCATTACTCCAGTACACCAGTCAAGAAGTATTTGAAAGTGGACATAGAACCAAATATCGGTCACGTCACGCCTGGGAACGAGATCGACTGCATTCTGCATTTCAATCTTAAGCAAGTTCCTGTGCATGCTTTCCCTGTCACATTGTCTGTAAGTTAATATTTATTACAATTGTACTGTTCGGTTATGATGTGAATTTTTACGTTTAGTTTTTCAGTACAAAAAGTAAACTTGACTTTTTCACTTTTAGATAGTAGATGGTCCTGAATATGAAATTTATCTTCACGCGGAAATTGAAAAGCCTAAATATCATTTCTCATGCATGGAATTCGACTTTGGAAAATGTATAGTAAATGCTCCGGAGACTACGTATAGAAAAAACATTGCTTTTGAGAATTCTGACGAAGTGCCTTTAATGTATGATATTACATATATTTTAACAGATTATCATTAATTTACATATGAACCTCATTTCGCACGTAACTATTCGTTCAAACTAATTTATATAAACACTGTTAAACCAAAAAATACATTTGTTTTACAGTGTTGACCTTAACTTTTCCAATTTACCGGAACTGTACGTGCAGTACAATAAAGAGTACGCAGTGGAGCCGAAAGGACGTATGAAAATATCAATTTACTTCCGCCCTAGAGAAGTCAAAGTGTATGAATTTAAATTGCAATTCTGGGTGAATACGTTATGTGAAGAAATTGTTACAGTTAGAGGAGAAGGTAGGTTGATAAAAAAAGGAGCCTCCAAAAATACATGTTTTTAAAAATTGTACCTTTTTTTAATATCTAGGCGTACCACTGCTGTTTGATTTATACGATGGCTGTCAGAAAAGCTTTGACTTGGGTCCTGTTAAAGTTGGTGAAAAGATAGTGCGTCAAATAGAAGTAATGAATCACAGCAAAGTGCCGATAGACGCGAGCTTCTCTTTCAAAGACACATACGCTTTAGTCGACGATACGAACAAGTCTGAGGCGACAAGCATTTGTTTAGGATTCAGAGCTAGCGTTCAAGGAAGTGATCCTGGACATGACAGGTTTGGGGATTGTTTTATAACTATTTTTTAGTTACTACGTTAACGTATAAGTTTAAAATATTTATTGATACCTATTTTTGTTTGACCTATTTTATTATTTTTTTCTACCTGTTCACAGGGATGAAATGCTAAAAGCTTACAAGGAGGATAAAATTCAAGAACAAATTGCTTTAGATGTACAGAATGCACTTTCATCGTTAAAAGTTATACCTAATAAATGCACCATACAACCATATCACAAGGTTCCGTTGAAGATTCAATTTAAACCTGTTGGCATTATGACCAAATTGAACGTTCAGGTATACGTTTATATTGACATTTTTCCTCCACTACATCGTAACCTTTAGTATTGAAAATATAATTTTAAAGTTGTACTTGACAATGCCCGACTTTAATACAGTGATTTCTACTAAAAATGTGTACAAGAAAGTAAATTTTTTACATCATTTGTTTTTAGTTGATGATGAAAGTGTTTCATTTCGAGCGCCCTCTGGTACAACTGAGCGGCAGTGCAACGGGCATGAGTCTTTGTCTAAGTCAAAACTCCCTTCAATTCGGTCGCGTACGCAAAAGAGGCTGTAAGATTTTAAAGGTTATGTTACAAAATAAAGGAGATTTTAGTGCTAGGTAAGATCTACTTAAAAATATTATCTGATTAAGAAACTAATGAGCACTACTTTTTTTAAATCTTATTGATAAAGTGACAGATTGAAGCTGCACGAAATATATCTAACGTACATATTATAAACAAAATATTATGTTAGGTTCTGGTGGCAGCCTCTAAAGACGGCTGAGTTCGCGATATCTCCCATCGAAGGTAACATAGCGGCGCGTACCGATGTCACTTTTACTGTCACCTTCAGGCCGGCAAACCATAATCCCTTTATTAAAGTTTGGGTAAGTTTAGCTCTTGACATTAAACTGTTAACGAAAAAACTGCTAAAAAACGCAACAATTAACTATCTGAGGCTTATTTTAAATTTTACAAACTACATTTTCATTTATAAGATAAATAATTCAAACCGATAGTCACCTCACTACTCAACTTTTTAAAGTTACTATGAAGAGTTAAGGTTGTAATATGTAATAATAAAGTGACAAAAATCTGTAGGCCAGTTGCAACATTGAGAACTACAAGCCTTTAGAATTGGCTCTATACGCGACGTGCATTGACGCCGGCGCCGTTCAGAACAAGACAATCATTATAGAATGTCCCGTCAGGGAAATAGAGACTGAACATCTTGTGGTCACTAACCCGTACGTATACATTGGTAATGTTAATATTTGATTTACAAACGATCCAACTATAATCTACTTAACTTAGAAGCAAATATAAGCTCTACTGTCTGTACCCTTTTTAAAGAACGTTACGAATGACATAGTAGAGACCAATTTATATTCGTAATACATATATCGCTTTTCCTGCATTGTTAATAAGTTTTAAAAATTATTAATATTTTAACGTTTGTCGAACAGTACCGACGAAATGTGGCTGGTGTTGTCGGAAGTGACAGGGGATGCGTTTACCACGCTCAAAGAGTTCAACATTGAAGCTAACACGACGTTCGATATACCTATTTATTTTAAGCCCAAATATTTCGGTAAACACGAGGTATGTATGATTTTAAATGAGATTGATTATAATAATGCTATTTTAAAGAAATAAGCTTTTATTCGTATCGTTTTATGCACGATTTTTAGGGACAAGTGCTATACTCGCCTCTTGGAGAGAGCGCTCTCTTCATCAATCTTATTGGTATCGCTACACATCCGAACCCTAACGGGGATTTATCACTTACTGTCAAAGAAAAGGATGTGCATACTGAAGAATTGTTAGTTTATAATATTACAGAGGTCAGTTAAAAGTTACCTAGTGCCATTAGAGTATTCAAATCCAATCAAGTGATTACTAAATCCATAGAAACTTTTCTGTTTTAGTTTCCCGAATCGTACATTGTAACATCAGAAATTGTAAAGATCTTTCCTGACAAGTACGAGGGCTACTATGAGATAAAACATCCGGACACCATCAAGGTGTGGGGCGAGGCCACGGCGACTTGCCGCTGGTCCTTTGTCTGCTATGAACAATGCGAAATGGAGGCAAAGGTCGGCTAGTTTTCCATTTATTGGATGTATTTTAAACCTCATACCTCACCAAATATTTTATTCTACATATTATAGTACGTTTAATCTATTTTCAAAACTATTTAACGTTCTTTTACAAATCCGATAACATTATTTTCTCAATTCATTTTTGTAAAGTGCAAGCTCCAAATGCGCGTTTCGTTTTACTAATTGAAAAAATACTCTTTTACTATTTTACAGGTTACATTTACAAATGAAGAAACACGCGAATATCAGTTCTACAACATTGCAATAACAGTCATACCTAGTGGTATCAAAGGTACCATGATATTTAAATCACGTGCGCGGGAGTCCGTGCAAAAAGAGTTGTCCATCTTCAACCCTCTCAGCACAGAGGCGGAATTTAACATTCACTGCGAAAATTTAGACAGCTCTGAAGTGATTAAGATTAACAGGAATTCCAAAGTAAGCGTTCATATTCTACTATTCCACTTTTAAACTTTTATAGTAGGGTAAGACATATTATGCTGTATTTAATTAACCTACTAGCTTTTGCCCGAGTGGTATAAAAAAAAAACAAAAGTGAGTAATCTATGTGCTCTTCCAGGCTATCCTCTACATTTATGCCTAATTTCATCGAGATCCCTTCTGCAGTTTAGACTACAAACTCTAATAAACATTAATCCATCTAAACTTTCATCTGTAGTTATTAGAAAGATAACTTATTACCAAGTTGTAGTAGATTATTTTTAAGCTAGCAGTTGGCAACTTTAAATAGTCGTATTCAAAGTCACAAGTCAAGTTGCCCAATTCGTATCTTACGAATTATTTTCGTTGTAATTTGAGTAATGTATTTTTTTTCTACAGGCGCCAATAACTTTGACGTATGCTCCTCTTGTGGTTGGTGAAACAGAAGAATACCTACAAATTTTCAACCCACTTGTAGGCGTTTACATGTACAAAGTGATTCTTATTTGTTTGCCAGCTAAAGAAAAAAATCTAGAATTTGCTACGTCGATTGGATCCTCCGTCCCTTTCAGATTACGGGTGCAGAATAAGACAGAACAAAAAGCGGATTTCAATATTACGGTAAAAACAAAAATGATTATCTGTCCAACAAGGAGAATGGCCCGATACAGTTAAACGGCTAAACGGTTTGATAAAGTGAAATTAGGCTTCGTCCGATTCGTAGTCGTCTCCTAATAGTCGAAGGATTACTTGGTTTTAATTATATTTATACTTGTAATAAGACAGCTTTTTAGGTTTCCCATCCTTCGATTATAATTGAGGAAAAATACGCACTTGGTCCTTTGGAGAAAGGTAAAGTACAGGCTTGGTTCGAGCCGACTGAAATTGGCTGCCAAGATTGCAGGGTTTCTTTGAACTCGCCTACTGCTGGTGAATTTGTGTAAGTAGATATCATTTTATAATCGCATATATCTATTCTATTATCATGAAGCGAATTGATTCGTATTTTTGAAATATCGCAAAAATTACTAGGCCGATTTTAAAAATCCACCGTTTTATCAATCAATCACCATCAAACAGTGAGTAACATCGGTTACATTTTTTAATTTCACGCGGACAAATTCACGAGCAACAGCTAGTTATAGTGATTACACAATTTTATTAGGGGCATAGCAACAATCAAGGGTACCGAGGTCATTGCACACGATTATTTTTTCTTCGGGAAAAATAAAACCCATGCCGTTAGATGGCCTTTGAGAAAAAAAAATATGTATCGTAAATCCTCTGGAATATGAGCTAAACGATAATTCTGTTATTATGTAATAAAACATTAATTCATTATTCTAGTTCTTTTAATAATATCGCAGGTACAACATAAAAGGTAAAGGCGAGAAGCCAAAACCTCAAGGGCCGTACTTGGTGAAAAGAGGAGAGTCCACGATAATAACGTTCAAAAACGTCTTTATGGACACGAGAACTTTTAAATTCGGTATCGATCAAGAAGAATTTTATTTAAAATCAGTAAACGAAACTTTGAAACCGAAAAAGGTATGTTGTCATTCGATGTTCATACTCTGCATTTTTCGGGATAATTTTTTTTATGAGAAAGCGGCAAACAAGCAGCGGGAACATCGAGATGTTTATCGCCGCCTATGGACATCCGTAATACCAGAAGAACTGCACTGCCAGCCTTTAGAACCTTTAGTATGATATAGCAGTATATAAGTAACAATTATGATTACATTAAACATGATGCGTAGTGCCTCTGTTTCTGCCTATATTTTTTTCTTTTTGTTTTTTTTACAGGAGTTATATTTGCCAGTTTACCTCATGGAATCGCCAGACGAAGTTCCTACGGGTTGCCTCACCATAGAGACTCACGAGCCGAGTGAACCAAAAGTTCACTGGACATTCTTCCTACAAGGCGTACCTTAAATGTTTAAATAAGGTTACGATTTTTGTTTAGTTCAAATAAAAACCAATAAATCATGTTATAAATGTGTTTTATTACCAATCACCAACACTAAAATCTTGAACAACATCCTCTTTGTCGGCTATGTCTTCTTGCACAGACTCCTTAGATGCTTTTGTTTTATTTTTGTTTGTCTTCTTTTTCTTTAATTTCTTTTCTTTAGGTTTTGTTTCATTTTCTTCATCTGACATTTTAAAGTTGGCAGTATCATCCTCACTGTCAGATGGGAATAACTCCATAGGGCCGCTATCCTTGTCTTTGTTTGTTTTTAATTCTTGTCCATCAAGTAATTTCGGTCTCTTTATCATGGGCAATTCTACACCTGTCTCATCATTCTTAGATACCTTCTTACGTTTCTGAATCTTATTGATCTTTGACCAATTCTCATAGAAAGTGTATAATGGAGTTCCCTTTGCTTTAATATTAGCTTCCCAGGCGGACACCATCTTATCATCGTTCAATGCGAAACTGATTTTTGAACGTTCGCGATCAATAAATCGGGAATTTTCTTCGATCTTTTCCATCAACTGTCGCATCCTTTTCGTATAGTTTGAAACACTACATGCTTTTAAAAACTGCTTAATCTGAAAACAAAAAAAATGGTTATTCTATAAATTTTTACCAATTCACATTTTTGGCATGAAAAAAGAAAAAACCATAAGAAAAACGTAAACAAAATCTTCCTAGTAATGAAAAGAAAAAAAATATAGATTTGATTTCGGAACTAAGAGGATTTTATGAAATGTAGGATACAAAGACACTTTTTTTAAATTGCAGACAATCGGTACAAAAATAAAAAGTATCAAAGTAAGAATTACCTGTAAAATTGCAAGTAAGCTGATATCTGGAAAGGCAATGTTGTGTGCTTCATTAGCTGTGTATTCCAGCAATAGTGCATACACCCTCTCAATAACAGAGTCTTTAAAACCATTCTCTGACAATTGCGACTTTGCTAATCTCAAAATACAAGAGAAATCTAAAGGCTTCATTGAAACTTTCTTGTGTTTTTTGTTGAAGTCATATGTCGTTAGCACCTAAAAAAATAAGTAAATATTACTGCAAGTTTCTAATCATAAAATGTGATTAGCACAAGTTATATGAACTTACCTCTACCAAGAATGGTAGAATTGGAATGAATGTATTGGTTTCTTTTGAAAGATTTATCAGGATTTCAACACAATGAAATCTAAGTGGATAGTACTGGTGAGTTGGGACCAACTTTATTGTGTTTGTGATAACCATCACTAATGGATACAATAAGGGTTGAAGTTGAGATTTATTTGATGTTGCCGCTATCAAATCTGCCCATAAATGTAGAGAATTTATATATTGCCAGTTGTAAACCGCTTGTCTGTTTTCTATTTTCTGTACTACAATTGCATTTCTGAGATGTATGGCCAGCTGCCTAATGTAGAGGAATACATGTTGGTAAGCAGCATTTAAGTCCAAAGAAAACATTTCCACCAGAGACCTTCGCATGAAGTTTATACCCGGCCAGGTTGAGGGACTTACGAATTTGGAATTCTTAACATACGTCATGTACATTGCTTTAAGCACTAAATCAAGTAGAGCTGCTTGCTGATTTCTTGTTATTCTTAGAATGCACAAAAATGATAAAACCCTTACAGTTTCCTCACCAGTACTCCATAATGTTATAAGTTTTTTTAATGATTGTTTTGATATACGACTGAAGCAAGCTACATATACAGACATTTGGTGCAAGTGCTTGAGGAGTACTGTTAAAATATTCTCAGATGTCACTCCACTCAGAAGTTTTAAAAGATCTTTGAGATATGACATTAATGGACCCTTGATCTTTATAAAGTGTTTACACTTCTGTGGGTCTTTTCCTGTTTGCTCCATACCTAGGTATTTCTTGATAGCACCAGGTAAATATAACACACACATTTGTATGACTGCATTGAATACAGAAGATCCTAAAAATAAATGTATTTTAATTATATATATCACAAATCGAAACAAAAATTAAAACAGTCAAAAAACTTGAATTCTTTTAATTTTGTAAATCCCATCATTCTTTACTTTTATGCAAGCACAGATGAGGCCTCAATGTCACGGCATATTTAGCAGTGAACTGATAAAGGCTGATAATGACAATGATAATATTTTAATTATTAGGCTAAATATTACTACAATCAGCTAACGATTTTCATACCTTCGACTTTGAACTCTCCCTGAGAACCCTCATCACCGGCAACTCGCAACATGGCTGCATTGAATGCTTTTATGACAGTAGTCAATGTGGGAAGCTTAATTTTTCCCTCACTCTGTAATTCTGCCTGCCACTGACTTACTAGTTTAAGAGTCACTTTACCAACTGCCGGTTTTGTATCCTCATCCTAAATAATAATACTGATTATTTTATGACTAAAATTTTTTAATTACAAATCTTAGATCATTTATGAAGAAAGACTTAAAATCTACAAAATTATATCTACCTCAAAATCACTCTCATCACTGTCACCTTGGAGAGGACCTGGCTCATGTACTTTTTCTTCATCTTCACCTTCAGAGCCATTATCATCAGAATCTTCACCAAAGTTCAGCAAGTTTTCATCATTTTCTTCAAGAAAATTGTAAAAATCAGGATCGATCTTTTTCAACTTCTCTAATGATTTCTTGTGCTCCTCTGGGGATAATTCTTCTTCAGAATCTAAAACAAAAACACGTCAGTATAAAAACAAGTATATAACAATAAACAGATTTTTTCTAAATTAATTTAAATTAAATGTAACCTAAATCGTCATGAGGTTCTTCAGACTTTTGTGGTGTTTTCTTAGACTTCTTCATTTTCATTTTTTACAATAAAACAAAAAGCAGCCTATGTAACTCTACGAAACTTTTAGCCTACTACGAGCCTTTTAAGTACTATTAAAACGTATGGTTAAATAATTTAACACCGCATGGTCACAATAAAACACAACAATCGCACGTGAATCAGTCGGTACAATGACAGTTGACATTGACATATTTTGACACTGGCATCTAACTCAGAAAAAAATCTGTCGAAACCATCTCAACAGACTATACTTAAAGTAGAAAATTATGTTAATTTAAAAGTGCACATGTTCTTTAAACTAAATGTTTTGTACTTTACTTTTGTTTTTTACTTTTGTTTTGTATGTACTTCTAGATATCGCTCTACTTTCATGTTTAAAATCGGACATTCGCTAAAAATGGCTTTATTTATTGATTTTCTAACAATTTATTTTTATTACTTAAAAAAACATATGTCTATGACCGCCCTTGAATTGAACTCATAGACTATGTTTTAATCAAATCAAAAAAAATATTTTCCAGAACAAGAACATAATAGAACATTATCGAATCCTGTTGCAACGAAATTAAATTTGCGCAGCTTAACATCTACATCCCGGGCCAGATCGGCAGCAGTATCTTTGTATTAACCGGTAAACTTTATATTTCGTAATCTGGTGAAAACCCAAAGTAAGTAAATGAATAACAACATTAAGAAAAAGTAGTGTTTCATCTTGTTTATATGATTATTGATCATCATTTTTAGAATACGTAATTAGAAGTATACTAATTTTTTTAATACATATTTCTCGGTATTGCTTTCAGTTGCATCATGCTGTCTCGAGTGTGCGTTCTTCGTTCGACATTAAACGTACAACAAACATTAAAAACTCCGTTAGCAGCAAAGTTTGTTCCAAAGAATTATGTCATAAGGAATTACGCACGTGAAACCCGTTCCCGTGTTAGCACTAGATCACAGCCAACCCTATGGGAAAGATTAATGGCACCAGCTGGACCTAATGGTATATCTACATTTGAATTATTCGTTTCCTTACCACATAGTTTTTATGACAATCATTATCAAAAAAACTTCAATTATTATCAAAAATTCAATTAAGCTCCCATCAAATGGTATCAAATTGCTTAGCAAGTTCACTTTCATATAATTAATTTAAGTGGCATGGCAAGTGTTAATCAAATCTTCTGTTTACAGCATTCAGCTTAGGCAAAGGTGCATTGGCGGGTGCCTCCGCTGTGGGTATTGTTGCTCTCTGTTACTATGGATCTGGAGTAAAACCTGGCACATTGCAGGAGTCACAGTGCGTTTTTTTTCTATAATGTCTAAGTTAACTGATAATTTTTGATTGATATTTGTTTGCATAAGCTTTAGATAAAGTTGTAGGTTATTTACACCTAGCTAAAGAAATTTATAATCAAGTAATCTGATAATATGCTGCTTTATTTTGGGAAATGTTGATACATATTGTTCCACCTTATTTGTACGAAAACTGCAGCTTTTATTAGTCTAGATACAATGAAAAATATTGTTTTGCTTTTTAGCCAATCTTTTAGAGGAAAAATGATAAAACATGCTTGGTAATAATTATTTTTTTTATTTCCAGTCTCTGGCCGCAATATGTAAAGGATCGCATCAAGACAACTTATGGTTATATTGCTGGCTCTCTGGTTTTGACTGCTGGAAGTGCTGTCACAGTGTTTAGAACACCCGCATTGCTTAATTTAGTTGCACGCAATGGATGGATGGTATGTATTGTACAATGGTTTTTAAATTACTTGTCATTCACATCTTTACATCTGTGCCAATTTTCATTAAGATCTGTTGAGTCGTTTTGGAAGTACCTAGCATAAATCCATCCATGTAAACTTTCGCATTTATAATATTAGTATGATTAAACTGAATATGTATGTTTCAGTCTATCATAATCACACTTGGTCTTATGATTGGGTCCGGAATGGTTGTGCGTGGAATGGAGTACAGGCCAGGGTTTGGACCTAAACAGCTAGCCTGGATTGTGCACACTGGTATTATGGGTGCTGTTATTGCACCAATGTGCTTCCTTGGCGGCCCCATACTGACCCGTGCCGCTATGTAAGTATTATCTATACTCATATATTAATATTATATAGAGAAAAGTTTTGTATTTTTGGAATTTTGTATTATTGTCAAAACTCAAAAACTACTAGGCCGATTTCAAAAATTCTTACACCATTAAAAAGCTATGTTATCCGTGAGTAAGTAACATAGACTTTTTTAGTTCCACACAGACGAAATTGGAAGTAACAACTAGTAATTGTTTTTATGCATTTACATCACTAGCGAGTCAGACCCTACTATCTATAAGTTAGGGATGACTGTAAGTTAATCAAGCTGTACATATGTGTAGATTGCTTGATAGATATTGAACATTTCCCTTGGATTACTGTTATTGCAAAGTTAATCATAGAAACTAGAATGGGTCTAATGAGTGTAGGTACACTGCGGGAGTGGTGGGTGGTCTGAGCACGATAGCGGTGTGCGCGCCTTCCGGGGAGTTCCTGAACATGCGCGCGCCGCTGGCGATGGGGCTGGGCGCCGTGTTCGCCGCCTCGCTCGCCAGCATGTTCCTGCCGCCTACCACTGCACTCGGAGCAGGTAATATTACTAAATGCGAATCTTTGGATGGATGGATGGATAGATGTTGGTTATAATAAGTCTGGAAGACTACTATTTTTTTGTTCCGCATGGATGGAGTTGTGGCCTAAAGCTAGTTCTTTATAAACTCTAGAAATTTTAGTATCTGTCATAAATATGATATCAGTATGAAAGGCTTTTTTTAATCTAATTATTTGTTCACTTTAAAGCAAATATGAAAATGTTCTCCAGATATAAATGTAATTGAAATAATTCTGATTTTTTAAAGTTATTTTATTGTATTCCAGGGTTGTATTCTCTCAGCCTGTACGGTGGGCTGGTAGTGTTCAGCGGGTTCCTGCTCTACGACACGCAGGTTATTATCAAGCGCGCGGAAACTCATCCCATGTATGGATTCCAGCCTTATGACCCAATAAACTCGTGAGTAAACCTTTCTTTTAGTTCCATTTGCACAGTACATATTTTTAATATATATTTCTATACTAATATAATAGAGCGTAAACACCCACTACTTTGTGGCGTAGGATGTCAGCAACCACAGTATATATTTGAATAATTATTTCTTTAATAAAAAGCCCTACACTAACGACACGCTTTAGGCTATATGTTTTGACGCTATAAATTTAGGCGGGTAAATAAATTGTAAAAAAAACTCCATTTAAGAAAGGGATCATAAACAGCTGGTAATTAATATAATAGTACTAGCGTAAATAAGCTAAACACTCAGCTAGAGGTCCCGCCAGGATGGCGCGCTATTCCAATACGTGTAATGACGTTTGACAGCTGTCAGATAAGGAGGAACTTCTGTGCCGGTAGTCTAGATTTGCGCCAATTCTAACGCAGTACTAATTTTCTTCTTTACAATATATGCTAACTTTCGCCCGTGACTCCGTCCGCATGAAATTTAAAAAAAAAAAACAAAAGCGAGTAGCCTATGTGTTCTGCCAGATTATCTTCTACATCTATGCCAAATTTCATTGAGATCCAATTACATCTAAACATTCGCATTTACCCAAACTTTTGCATTTATAATACTAGTAAGAAGATTCAGATTTAAATTGTAATTTTTAATTTATTGTTTCTATTAGGGCCATTTCGGTGTACCTGGACATTCTCAACATCTTCATGCGCATCGCCATGATCCTCTCCGGCTCCGGCGGCAACAGGAGGAAGTAACACTGACAATAATAAAATATTCCCCCACATAAATTATTCACATATGTTCGATAATTTTAGTTGCGTTATTGTTTACAGCATTGTAAAACAACAAAATTTCAATAACTTATTTAGAGTTAAAATCGCGAATGTGATATAATGTAATATATAAGATAGATTCGATGTTAAGTTTGATTAAGTTTTAGTTGGTCGAGGCATGATCTATTAAATTAACAGTTTTGTGGAAATACATCATCCCAAATGACTTTTGTTTTTTTGTTCTACCTACCCAATTTCCTGAAAAGAATCGCTTAAGGCGACAGAAGTAAGGAAATCAATAATCACAGAAAACTACATTTCTTAGAGCGCAAGTACACCTTTGACTAAACTATCGCAAAACCGTTTAGTCACGCAGTTGCATTGGCTGCAAAACAATCGCTCTTATACATAAAATTTTGCAGTAGAAATTTTTGAACAATAAAATTAACATTTATGTTAAATTATTTATTATTTATTTACAAAAGTACTATTTTAAACGGAATAAAAGTTTGAGAAGATACGCGCTGGCTTAAATATTAACTGTGAAGCCTCAGAAGCTTACATTTTTTTAAATCCTGGAATACATGGAATAACAATAATCTCGATTTAATAAATACTTTACAATAAAACATAACAATATAAGCATTGTTTTATATATTCAAAGAATTTCATAATGTTACTTGAATTGTGCAATAATTTTACTGTACATAATATTGTTTTAAATTATACATAATTATAAATAAATGCAGGTAATATCACAATTATATCTTTGGAGTATATAAACGAGTTAAATTTGCCAGTACTAGTAACACTCGTGTTTAAGAACTTATTTTTTTTACTTGGTTACGTTTGTTACCAGAATCCCTGAGTACCCTAATTCTCATAAATGTTTAAGAGAGCTGTCAACATGCCTATTATTTTGTAACACAAAGTAAAAAAAACGAAGAAGTCTGTTTCAATAAATTTTAGACAATAAACAAAAAAGATTAATACTGCAAAATATAGCAATTATTGATAAATGAAGGCGGTAATTAGAGATATCAGTAAATAAGTAATCTTATACTCTACAGTTGTTATAATTACATTAAGTTCTTATGAGCAAATTGAAGAGATCTCGGTGCTTAAAATAATACTAATCAAGTGTCGCCAGTCTTTTGCGCTTGTTGTTTCAAATATATCGCGTACATTTGTCGCGCCTGGTTCAATACCCTGTTTACATTGTGTTTGCGGACCATCTTGTCGAAATGCATCGCGAGTTCGTTGTAGTCCATGCGGTTCCTCATCACGTAGTCCCTGTGCTGCAGCAGCACCGTTAGACAGAGGAACATGAGGAAGGGGTTCCCGCCCCCGAACACAGTCGGCGCCGGCAGGTTGCCGATGCTTATCTTTGTAGATCCCTCCCCGCTTCCCGAACACGAGACGGCTCTTTGCACCGGCGGCTTAAACACTTCATATTTCTTCTGAAAATTATTAATCGTGGACGCCACGCTATGCAAATTAGATTGCTTAGCGATCAGAATAGTTTCACAATTTTTTTTCGCATTTTCCAGTTCATGTGACATGTTGGAAAAGAATTTGTGCGATTTAGAATTTGGCGTGGTTTGATTTTCACTGTCCTTGAGGGTTCCCGTGTTTGTCGACTCGACGCCGTCTCTCTCGGAGGAGTCAGTCTCGCTGGAATGTCCTTCGGAATGTTTATGATTGTCGCGAGATACGTCCTGTGCTTCCAAGGAATGATTCTTCCTCAACAGTCGTATCGGTGTGACGGATTTTTTACCGGAATGTTCTTCAAATATTTCCCCTGTGTCTCCGTCGAAGTCTAATTCCGCCTGCTCATCGGGAGTCTGCGGGCAGCTGGCGGTGGTGCGAGTCGTCGGCGTGTTTCTATGGAGAGGATTCTCCCATAGATAAATATCCTCCGCACTCCTCGCATTCGATTTAATAGTTTCAAACAATGGTGATTTTTTCGCTGTTTCATATGGTTCAACATTTTCTGTCTGTATCTCTAAAGCGGTAATGCATTCGGACTTTAGCTCGGTATAGTTGTTAGTGGGTCTCTCCTCGGTGCTGGTAGAATCAGACGGAGAGTCACTGATCATGCTGCGTCGGTTCACGTAGGATGATCCGAACACTTGTCGATCTAAATGTTCCAGTTCGAGTCTCAGTTCCCTTGTCATAGAAGTCGTCATGGGATAGTATTCTTGGGAGTCGTCTGGGCTGCTCCCATCGTTTGTATCCAATTGAAAAGGTTTGGATGTTTTGTGGCCTCTGAGAGTCTTTAAATCATGTTCATCGAAAGAAGTCTTAGTTAAAGTAATTCGTGGACAGTCTTGCGATGATTTACTATCTATAATGGATTGAGTTCGTTGGAGTTTTTCTTGTTTAAAGTTTCCAGATTTAGTTCCCGTAGCAAAGTTTAGAAATTCGTTCAAATTTTTTATCATCTTAATCTTGGGTTTATTCGCATCCGCGACAGTTTGGTCGTCAAGTTTATCTAAGGATGAGAAGAACCGATTGTTATGAATAGATATTTTGTCCCGTAATAACCTTATTTGACTTCCGAGCGGAGTTTCCTTGACATCCGAATGTGCGGTGCCGTTCACTAAGTTCTCATCACTCGACCAATCGTGAACGCTTGCAGCTTGTGTCTCCGAAGACCTGACATGTTCTGGTACACTTGACATATTTCTTTTGACGGTCAATTTTGTGTCTTTATTGCTTAAAATTTGTTCCTTACATTCATCTTTAATACATTCAAGAAGTTCATTTTGTGGTTTTTGTGTGTGCAGAACGGCGTCGTCTAGACTTTGAAATTCTTTGGCATGTTTTAGTGAGGTGCTGTTTAAAGCTTTACGAGTGACGTTTTCATCTAAACTGTGATTAGTTTGCTTGATCGTAACTAGTTTTGGGGCTTTGATGTTCGCTAAACTGAAGCTTGAGCTCTGTCGTCTGATAGCGCAAACTTTGGTGTAGGCGTTTTCTCGTGGAGCCTTGACCAGCGGGCTCAGAGGAGGCGGGTTTATTTCCTCCTCTATTGTCGGATTGAACTCTTTCTCTTTGAGAGGTAATTCAAACGATGGCGTTTTCTGCGGTAACGAAGCCCATAAAACCTCGAGCATTCTTAATGCGTCGTCGAAAGCAAACTCTCGTTTCATTTCGAGCAGTAACCATCTATAGCAAAACAACAAATCGTCAGCTTGTTGAGATTTTAAGTAATTGTAGAAATCCGGATCGTACACTTGTAGCGATTCGGTTAAATGGCTGAATTTTAATGTCATAGCTTCGCCATCTAAGAGGAAGTTAGGATAGAGTCTAGTCATGAGGGCGCAGAGGCAGATGTAGGCGTGGGCCTCGTCGCCCATCGTCACCAGCAGCGGCGACGCCAGATCCGACATTCCTTGGCAGTAGCTCACCGTGGGATGATATAGTGCGTACCTGGGAAACAATGTAAACCACCTTACAAGTGTTTTAAAAACTAAATTATTTTAATATGACAGTACCAGGATATAGAGCAATTCTGATTTATACTAGCTATCGCCCCGGACTCCGTCCACGTAAAAGTAAAAAAAAGCGTGTATTTTTCTCGACTATCCTCAACATCTATGCCAAATTTCATCGAAATCCGTTAAGACTTAGGCTACAAACTCTTACAAACATCCATCAACCAAATAAAAATAATATTTTAAAAAAATTAGCCTGTGCTGCTCACAGATAAATTATCTTCCTAATGGTGAAAATATAAAATTGGCTGAGTAGTTTCCGAGAAAAAATACAAATTTTTCCTCTTTATCATATTAGTACAGATTAGTAAGAAGTAAGATTTCATCCAAGAGGTAAACATTATGAACATATTTTTACAGACAAAATTTTGACAGTGTGTATTTTAATAAGTACTTACGTCGTCAAAATGTTAAAAAGAGAGGCAATATTTTGATTATCATCACTTCCAGCGTAGAAGTTGTGATGTCTGTCCGTTCGTAGGACATCTTTTCTCACCATACTTGTAACGTAAGCTAAGTCAGCGTCCACCTGCAACCATTGTTATGTTTAAACAATTAAAATAAATCACCATACAAATCTATGCATAAGATACTCAGGACAATAACACAATATAATACATATATGTATTTACATTTTAAGTAATGATGATGCTAGTTGTGAATAAACTTTATTTTTCTCTGCAAAATTATACATTAGTTGTTTCTCGCGTCTCCGTACGCGTGAAATAAAAAAAAAATTATAAAAGAGACGGTAAGGGAAATTTTAAAATCGGCCAAGTAGTTTTTATGTCAATCGGATACATAAAAAAATACAAAAACCCAAAAATACAGATGTTTCCTCTTTTTAATATTACTAGGTTTTACCCGCGACTCCGTCCACGTGAAATTTAAAAATGGTATTATAAAGAAATGGAAAAATATAGCCTGTGTTACTCACAGATAAATTACCTTTCTAACTGTGAAAGAATTTTTAAAATTAAAAAGATTTTCAGCCTACTCATTGAAATAAAAGAAACAAAGTTTTCCTCTTTATAATTTTAGTATAGATAGTAGACTAAGAATAGATGTAAATTTATGATTTAATTTTATTACCTTTCCTCTCTGAATGCAGTCTTTCCATCGAGATCTAAGCGCATAATATTCATTGGCTTTTCTCTTAATATAGTCCATCCGTTCTCTACCGGTCATACCTTCGGGATACACATTCAAAATATGCTTCCATACTACTTTTCTGAAATTAAAAGTTTTATTATTATTAGCTTTATTATCTATAAAAAATAATTTACTCTCATAAAAAACAATAATTAGTTTACAAGTCTAAATAACAGTACAAAAAAACTAAGTTTAAATGAGGTAATTTGAACTGCATTTTCTAATCTTGGGTACACTATGTTTTAATGCAAGTTTTTTAACTGTAGAAACTCTTGCACCAGTTGTGACCTTGAGACTTCTGCCTTAAGTTATCTTCTCAATTAATTTTCAAATCATTTTTCTATATAAATTTTATCGTAGGTTTCAAATACCTCAAGCTAGGTTCAATTCCACCGCAATATATGACCTCTCGTAACTTTGAAGTGTTTGTTATTTGACCCACTGCATCCAGGAACGACCTGAACTCAATATCATTGAGTGGTGCTCGAGGAGGGGTGTTAGGATCCTCATACAAATTTAAAGCCCTTGATACTATATTGAATGTCTTCTCTACCTATCAATAAAATAAAAAAAAATTAAACAGAGTTTTTTTTTTAAGTCTTAAAAATCTGATATAGCTGATCTACCTTTTATCTATTTTTTGGAAAATATGTTATAGAACATAGAATGTAAGATAATCAATCATATAAATATTATGAATGCAAAAGTTACAATGGATGGATGAATGTTTGTTAGCGTTTGTAGCCTAAACGGCTGAACGGATTTCCATGAAATTTGGCACAGATACAAAACAAAGTCTGGAGTACACATGGGATAAGGTTCGTCTCCGAGAAATGTCCGGTTCCCGAGGGGTACGTAGCTTTTTATTATTTCTATAGTTCGTATGTTTTATAACACCACGCGGACAAATTCGCATGCAACAGCTAGTATTGAAAAAAAACTTAATCGGCATATGTTCTTCTAGGCTTTACCAAATTTTAACCAGATAGATGAAGTCTTTTTGTCATAGTAACAATCTTCCATATATCAACCCAGTTTCACATTATTAATTTTAGTATGATTGGAGACACTTGGAATAAGATAGTTTAACAGAGGAAGAAGTATTTTTGTTACATTTAGAAATACCTGGTTCATAATTAACCCTTGAAAACCAGATTGTGATTCTTGTTTTTCAATTTGTTGTGGAGCTGGACAAACAGTTGGTTGTTCTTTGTTTGGTTGTGGTGCTACTGTTGTTGGGCTAATGTTTGGAGGCTCCCAATCTTCTGACGCCTCCGCAAAAGGTTTCATATCCACTTTGAGTTGAACACACGGCTCTGATCTCTGAGTTTGAGCTATATTATGAGCCCTATTCATAAAATAAAACAATATATGACCCAATTTTCATCATATGAGCTACACCGTCACACACATTCATCACACCGTTTATATGAGCATATGTGCATAAATTGTAATTTTTTTATAATACAATATAAAAATTTACCACATGATTACTTACTTGAGAAAAGCAGCATCAAGGTCCCAATCAGAAAGAAGTGGTAAATAAATGTCTTGTCCATAATCATCAAATGTCCTATATGACAGTGTAAAATCAGACTTAATATCAAATGCTTTAATTAAAATGCTCTGTAAAACTTCCAAAGAAGTTATTTGTGGATCCACAGAAAATTTCCTTAGCTCTGGTTGTAGTTTCCCTTCACATTTCTGACAAAAGCGAATAAACAATAAATACATATTTGGGTTCAAAAAATCAAGAAGTAAATATTAATTTGACTGTAGTTCTTGAAAGAATAAAAATATAAATCAAATACAAAAAATGTGCTCCATCATTTATTAAATATTAAAAATTTATTTAGCAAGTATTTCAGTAAAATTTATGGTTTATTAATAGGCTATGAAACGAAACAATACAAACCTTGACTTTCACTCTAACTGCTTCTTTGCTGTAGCCAAACATCTTTACTCATTACTATAACCTGACAGATGTTGAAACAAATCGATTTTAAATATTCGTGAATACATAAACCGACATAATTAATTGAAACATATCACAATTTCAAACACAATTCTTTGAATAATTGGTACTAAACCAAATCAAGTTGCAAATGCGAAGACTGACGAAGCAGTCACATTGACAGTGACATTGATAGAAATAAAATTGTCCCTGTTGGTTTTTTTTTTCAGTTGAAAATAGAAATCATTAGATATGAGAAGATTTACAATTAAGGAATATTGTGTTCATATATCTAGATTTGGGCTTGGGTTTTAAGTGTGGTGGACAATGATTTGTATTGAGCTAAACGATCCGTTGATGTGCGAGTTTTCTGCTCTTTGGAATAACATTTGATTTGACTTTTGACATTGGCATTTGACGTAACAGCGTGTGCTGAGTAAAACAAACTTTTTTGTTACGTTGCAAAGTTAAAGAATTTGAATTGTTACAATATTGTACAACGTTAAAATGACAACTCCAAACGCTCATCCTCATATCGATAGGGAGTTGGATTTATCAAATTCTGGAAGAGGAGTCTGGCTGGTAAAAGTTCCTAAATACATAGCCAACAAATGGGAGAAAGCCCCTGGTAATATCGATGTTGGAAAACTAAAAATTTCTCGTACACCGGGCCAAAAAACACAAGTACAACTTTATCTTTCGGAAGGAGTTCTATGCCTTAAAGAGCCGGGTGAACAAAACATTCCAAAGGTTCATCGCCTGGACGTGTACAATGTTACTCATCAGTCATTGGGTGTTTTCTCTCACGTTGTTCGTAAGTACGCCTCTGTGACCATGTTATTAGGCTATGTTTTGGTTTTAAGACATAGTTCGAGATTATCATGCCATCAAAAATATCATATTCGACATAGATGGGATTGCTTCTTACCTGTTTCTAAAGAAACAGAAAATATTTGAGCTTTATTGCGATTTTTTGTTTTTTACCAAATTCAATGATTTTATCTATGTGATTACTTGTATTTTAGCTGCTACTACAGATGCAGTAGTTCCTGAATCTGAAAAACTTTATATGGAAGGTAGAATAGTTCAAAAGTTGGAGTGTAGGCCATATGCTGACAATACTTATTACAAGCTTAAATCGGAATCTATAAGGAAAGCGTCCATGCCACAACGACAAGTTCAGCAACTGGACAGAATTGTGCAGAACTTCAAGCCAGTATCTGATCACAAACATAATGTGAGTGTTTATTTGAATCATACTTATTATACTTACGTTTTAAAGTGACACATATATTGATTGATTGATTATTTATAATTGTTTTAGCTTATATTTTGATAATTTCTATGTAAATTATGATGTAGGTTTGTGCAATTAACATACTTTTTTTTCACATAGATTGACTTTCTGGAGAAGAAAAAAGCAGAGGGTAAAAAGGCTCGTGATGACAAGGATGTGGTCCTCAATATGCTGTTTGCAGCTTTTGAAAAACATCAGTATTATAACATAAAAGATTTACAAAAGGTAATGTGATTTGCAATTATCTGTTTTGTCAAACAAAAAAAGTAATATGCCAATATTTTTGTATACATGTATGACAACAGTAAAAAAATCAAAAATTGTCTATGTTTCAGATAACCAAACAACCAATAGTATATTTAAAAGACATTCTTAAAGAGGTGTGTAATTATAATTTGAAAAATCCACACAAAAATATGTGGGAACTGAAACCAGAATACAGGCATTATAAGCAAGAGGCACCTGTGGAAGCAAAGCCAGACAAAAATAGTTCGGACAGTGACTAGCAATAAATTACTGTATGTTAGTGTCCACTATGGTAACACTTGAACAAAAAATGTTTTTTTTTTCAAAGAGTAAACAATATGACTAGACAGTCCTTTTTTTTAGTAGTAGACAAGACAGTCAAAACATTGAAATCTGTTTTAAAATTGATTAATCTTTATTATTATGTTAATAAATGTGTAATAATAAATATAATGACTAAGCATAAATATAGTTACTTAGCTGTTGCTCGCGACTTTGTCTGCGCGTATTTAAAAATCTCGTAACAGCTTATGTTTCTCAGTGATATGTAACTTTATAATGGTGGAACAACTAAATAAATCGGTCCAGTAAGTTTTTAATTTATTAATTACATACGAAAATACAATTCTTTCCTCTGTATTATTATTTTATATGGCGAAGCGATTGCTGCCCATAGACTTTCGCAATTGCCGATTCATTGCCTACCCTTAATCGATGGAGGAGGAGATGTACATAACATGGATACTTCACCTTCCTATGCGTCCGCCGTCTAATCTACTCCTGCAACCCATCCTTTCCTCATAAGAAAGGACCTAAATTAGGCCTCTGGCACCATGCTCATCAAATTGTTTTTCCACTTCATGCCTGTCTTCTGTATGGTCTTGGTATTGCACCGGGCGAGCCGACACTTTCGTGCGAAGATGTTATAGTGGGCTCTACTACTGTTAAAGTCGTTAATACCTATAGAAAAAGATATAATAAGAGTGAGACGACAATAAGTTTACAATCTGTCAAGGCGTATTGTGCTAACTTTCAGCAGTTTGCTATAATCTGTTAGTTTATGTTAAATAATGGATGTTTATGTAATAGTTAATTATGATATGACAATGTTTACAGTTGTGGGTTTTGTACATAACTAAAAATAATTCATGGTTTATTTATTTATATTTGAAAATAAAAATGAAATTCTCTAAACTACAATGAGTTAAAAACAGTTTGTCATTATGTAATGTATTTATTTAATCTATATCTATACTAATATTACAAAGAGGAAAGATTTGTATTTTTGTATGTATTGAAATAAGTCGAAAACTACTGGGCCGAAATCAAAAATTCTATCACCATTAAAAAGCTATGGTTTTTATTCTTTTTATACGTGTGGGCGAAGTCGGGAGCAATAGATAGTAAGCTATAAAGATGAATTAAATCTAACATTATGTCTACCGTATTATATTTAATCGATTACAAATAAGTATGTCCTTATAGTGACATATAATTGTTATATTTATTGAATAATAGTTGTCGCTTGGAAACTAGTTCGCGTGGCGATGTCTAAGATAAAACATTGTTCAATGTTATCGTGAATTCAACTTGTATCATATTTTCATGCCATTCTATTCTAAAATTCAGGAAAAACAATGTATGTCTATACATAGAATATCCGAAAAGTTATGTTAACAAGAGTTTAAGATATTTCAGAGGCCTATCACAATAAATTACGGAAAGTATTAGTAACGTTATCGGCAAAATTTAATTTACATTTGTGTATTTAGTGGCCTCATATGAACCTAACATGTAGTTGGATGGGAATGTCATGAAGAATACGACTAAGGGAGGAAATGTGCACTTCACGTTCACGGGTCACTGCATATTTTGCCACGAACATTGTAAGTAAGGATTTTGAGGGCCGGAGCGATGCCGAAGGCTGGATGCCAGATGAAACTCCCCAACAAGCTGTTTAATTTTTCCACTTTGTCACATATAAATATGTTTAGTGCCGCATCACAACCCTGTAAATAAATGATAAGCCCGAAATAATATAAGTTGCACCATCAAATGTTGGAGTAAAGTGATTGTTACCTTGTCGTAATGTTTGTCGCAGTAGGTGGGGTTTACGCAGCAGGACTTCGGGATCATCGACTTCGGTGAATATTGTAACCAGTCCTTGCTATTTTCTATGCCACAGCACTGGAACTGTTTATAAAAACGAGTGTTATTTTATAACCATAGTTTACTTGATACATGTGGTCTTGTTTTTTTTATTCTCCTTTAAAAAAAAACTGTGAAGGCAAAATGTTTTACTAATAAATGTGATGAAAAAAAAAACTATTTTTATATTTAATACTAGCTATTGCCCGCGAATTTGAAAGTTCATAACTTACGTTTGCCCTTTTTTTTCAACCTATTAAAAAAGTATTAACTTAGTAGTAATCTACGTAATAACAGAAATCTACCGATGCAATATTCCAAATTTCTAAGCCCGGTAGCTTGTAAGCTGATTTTTCGGTTACCCTTATTGTTGTGTTCGCGATATCTTCTAAACTGTTAGTCCAATTTAAATACTGTAAAGGACAATTTTAATCAACATTAAATTCTCCTGACAACAAACGCATTTTTTTGGATAAGGGTTAATATTGAAACCAATAAAAGAACGCCGCAGACAGCGTGCAGTTTTTAATTCATTTTGTAAACAAAAAAGTGGTTCTTGTCAGAAAATCGTTAAAGATAGATATATGTTATCGCGGACTTTCTGTAGAACTTTTTGAGATCTACAATTCTTTCTTACATCATTTTTATATACCTCTAACGGTTTAGGCAGCGTAATCCGAGAAAAGTTAAAGTTTAGTGAATTTTTAACACCGGCGTCCAGAAACATGCTGTTTATTTATATTTTCTAAACATAAGTAATAATAAAATATAGCCTATGTTACTCACAGATAAATTACCTTTCTGATGGTGAAAGAATTTTTAAAATCGGAAGAGTAGTTTTTGAGTTATTTCAATACAAAAATATACATCTTTCCTCTTTTTATTATTAAGTATAGACTAGTGTTCGCCCATTGGTCGAAATTCTGCTATATTCATAATCTAAGATTTTTTTTTGTAAAAAATAGCTTTCTGCCTTTCGGCAATTTAACTTTACTTAACTTAACTTGGTACCCACGTAGGTATATCTGTTCGAGCAATTTCCTTAGAAAGGAATTACAAAATTTTCGCTTCATATTTTATTATTATGCACTAGTATAAAAAAAATAAAGGTGTTCTAATACCGTTGATTGAATCATGTCAAGGTTGGTCGTGACTGAATTGTAATTTTGAATATTCCTCTTGAGCCCGTCGGCGATGCCTTCTTTCAACGCCTCCCGGTAGGACTCCAGCGATATTTGCAATCCCCCCATCGTCATGCCGACGCACATTAAAAAAATTGCATACTGAAAATATAATACTTTTGTAAGAGGTACACATTGGAATCGAATAGCTAACACGAAATCAAGAACTACTCCGAAAGTCATCGTATCTCAATCTGATATTATGTTTTATAAGATGTTCATATGCAATATAAGCAGGTTTTCTTACCGAAATAAAAAATATCGGCCCCTTCCTGGTGACGCAGTAGAAGGCGTAAGCGTTGACGATAGCCATACATGCTCCAAAACCGATTACTAGAAACGGAGCAGCTCCGGTCATGCCTGACGGCAGGTCCACGTACTTGTTAATTTTGATTACCGTCTCCACTCCCGCAAACGTTATATATGCACCTATCAACTGGGAAAAAAGACATTCAATAAATTAATTACAAAGCAATAGAATATTGCTTTCTTCTACACCTTAAGAGTAAAACAAATAAATATGTACCCTATACGTATAGAGGTATGGACATATCTAGAGGTTTATAGTACGTAAATTGTAAATTAATGTAAAAAACTATGTTTTGCAAACATTTGCGTTGCTTATAACGAAAATGTTTTTTTTTTTTAATATTTTATGACGTTTAGCATGTCGCTACTTCCCCTTCGCGTCTTATAGTTCGTCCTTTACAAGATAGGCGACGAATTTGCTGTTTTTTTTTACCTGTCTAGGTAGCGGTCTTTTCGAACTATCAGAAAGATCTTCCGCTTGAAGAAAAAAGAATGAATGAAAAATAAACTTATTTAAGGGTCAGGGCCTGGTAGCAAGGACTAAAGTGCTCGACTATTCCGGCACAGACACTAATACGGACTTTTATGTATCTACCTCCCGGAATCCTGGCAGCCGTATTTTTAACAAAGTGTTCATACATTAAAGAAGATAAGGTCGTACTTTTCATTCTAGCGGGAAAAATAGGTGCGTAATATAGTTAGTAACTGCTACAAAAAATTGATAAAAAAATTACACTAGTATCTACATACTACATATATAGTTACACTTATCCTTAACGAAAGTGTGGCAAAAGGCAGTCGACTCCAAAGATGTAGGCAGGGATGGACTTACCTACACCTATTACTACCCTGGTATCGGTTTCCGTTTGTCTCCTTTACATTAACCTAACAAATGAAAGTCGGTACATCGGCTTGTTCCGTTTACCTAACAAATAGTCATTTCGAAATTGACATTACGCCGCTTATTTTGTGCCATATGAAAATAATTGTATACATACCGAGCAAATCATACTGACGACATTAAGTAATGCTTGTAGGATAATAAGCATTTGCCCATCCGCATCCAAAGTCTTGTTTTCATCTTTAGGTTCTTTTTCTGTAGCTTTTTTTGAATCCTTTTTACGCGACATATTTATTGTTGCACTATGTCCGGGAGAGCTAAATGAGATGTCTGGCTGGCTGAGCTGGTTGAGATGCGCGGGTGGATCACAACGCATGCGCGATACCTGCCTTTGTGCAATCAATTAATCTATAACAGGTGGCAGTGGATTTACTGCCTTATGCCCCTTTAAATTGAACCATAAAATACTTTAAAACTATATGTTCAAACAAATTCTGAAACGTTTACTGTTATAAATATACCTAACTATACCTAACAGAGAAATCTATACTAAATGTAGAATTGAATTTGAATTGGTATATAGCTCCAGGCGATGATTATATTGGAGTTTTAACTGTTTGCATGCCCATGTAACAGCCTAGGCTGTTCCAAGTTCTGTGGCTGCACTTTATCACATCGTCAGTTCGTCAGTCGTTTGAAGACCGCAATAGAAGCGCGACGTTTTCGAACGGCGCCCGATCGCGTTTCGTAACTATTTTACGCAAGATAAAATATTTTTTCCTATTATTTTTATAATACAAATAAATAACAAAGAAAACTAATACCATAATAGTGTATAGTGTTTTTATAAATTTTTCACACAATGTTTTGCCGGCTGAATTTATTTCTGATTGGACTTTTATGCCGAATTGCATCCGTGTCCCCGATTGATGAAATAGAAGCCGATGACGGTGAGATAATTTAATTATAAAAATGTTATTGATCGATTTATTTAAGCGGTCTTTATATAATTACAATTTTCTAGAATTATGATAGTTATTTTATTCTATGAAATAAATTTTATAGGGGTATAAAAAGCAAAGTAAAAAAATATACGAACGAAATGGAAACAATTTTGGTAGTCGTTTTAAAGTTACAAAAAAATATTTATTTTACATATTGAGAAATGACAATGTATTACTTTATGGTTTTATGATAAACTAATTATTTATACCTAAAACACATTGGAACTTTTAGTTAGTTTTTTATGCTGCTAAAAGGTATCTTATGACGCAGAGATAGGTTCTTACGATATTATTAGTGTTGTAGATTTTTTATGGTGTATTATCATACAGAGTCTGAATCAGTGAGTTTAATTTATTTATTTATTTTATTTAAGAAACCTCTTAGCACATGTTCTGATACTCCATCGTAACCGGATATGGATAGATGACACCTTTGTTACAATACAAAGTTATGTTTTATACATTACGAACATATAAAAAGTCTGTAACATAATTTTAAAGTGCGATAATTATTGACAGGTAAGAAGTGGGCTTATAGATAGAAGTCCTGGGTTCGATCCTCTCCATATAATATGTTATTCGATATCTCCGTATATATTCAAAGATGAACACTGGGCCATCGTGGTTGTCAGAATAATCACCCTAAATATTGTTTAGGCTTGACCCCCTCGATGAGAACGATATGTGGATTAAATACTGCAAGACTGTTAGTTATGTTATTGGCGCATAACGATTTTTTTGGTTATTTCATATTTTAGTTTCAGTCAATATAAGTTTCTACCTTATTGTTTTTAAAAAAAAAAATTATTTAACCAATCGCAACTTGATACTAAATACATTTGTGAAAGTCGATGTTTATCAGGTATTTAAGGAAAAAGGAAAGTGCAGATACATTGTTTATAAATTTTGTTTATCTTTTATATTCACAAGTAATAATGTAGATAATTAGGTCAGTTTAAAATAAGTTAATGTTAATTAATGGAAAAGTGTCGAAATGAGCTAAAAAAAAGCTACGAATTGAAACAGTTCGGTTGAATACCGACTATACTGGCACGGACAGTTTACGCAATGTTGATCTAGAAGGCGCAACAAAGCTTTTTTACCGCAAAGCAATGTGACACGGAGGCGTGCGGTTTTGCCAGATTACATCAAGCTAACGGCTCATCATGGCGTTATCAGTGTTGCTAACGACGAGGCTTTGCTCCTCATTTTAACAATTGCACTATGGAAGTAGAGTTGGAAAATCAAGAAATAATTACAATTTAGTTTGATTTTTATGGAGATATTTTTATTCAACACTAACGGGGACCCTTACAGCAGATTTAATACGAGAAATCTGAGAGAGATTAAATATGAAAAGTAGAGGTAACAATTATTAAAATTCTACCGTCTGTAGGTACGATCATATCTAGTGGTTATCTTAAAGCTAAAATAACGGTTACCTCATTTCCCTTTAGACCACCAACAGTGTAGGCGAGTCATAGTTAGACTAGATTTATATCATCTGCATTCTTTATCACTGTCGTGAAATCAAAATCCAATAACAATATCTCCACGACAAATCACACGATCATAGTGAATGGTTTGATTAAATTAACTGACTATATTTCTCTAAACAATGCGCCGTTTAGGAACGATCGTGCTGTCCCCATTTTAAGTGAACACTTTTTGGGTTAGTTCACATGAACTATAAATATATTAAAACTCCACTACCAAATATACTGACGGTCTTCTCAATTAGATAATTTCCAAGATGCCAAGGGTCTTGCGTGGTTTTTATTGTTTTATTATTATTTGCTTATTCTCTCACCTTTTATCTTTTTTTTTGCAGACAGTTATAAAAGTGCGATAAAATATCGTGCATTTCTCCAATGAGTTAACATTTGTTGAACTAAATTGTGGGGTCAAGCAACATATAAATTGTCTAAGATCGTGACCATCTAATTAAGGTTATACGGCTTTAGTATTTATTTTACTATTTAAATCACCTACATTTTATTATTTAATAGTTTGCATTAGTAATTTTAAACGAATGTTTTTAAAGACTTGTTAGTATGTTATAAATACGGTTTGGGAAATTCCATGTTTATTGACACTTTAAAATGTATTAAAATAAAAATATGTTATAGGTCAGATAACATTGTGCGTGATCGTAATAAAAAATGTTTTGTGTTCTAGAAACAAAAGTTAACCTCATGTTTAACCTTTGTGATACATGTGAATAATTTTGCTGTGCAGTGTACCTGATGACAAATGTGTACCTATTGTATATAGAGTACAGTCCTGGTTACAAGTCAATAGCACCGCCGAAAGGCCGATGACAGATACAGTACGCGTAACGTTAGCCCAGCAGAATAGTTGCTATTTGAACTTTGATGGATTACTTCTGTAAAGGGTGTTAACATAACCTAAAACAATGTTGAGAAAGTTGTTAACACTTGTAAACAAAATTAAATTATTAAACCCTAAAAGCTGTTCTTTATTGCAAGTATGTATGTAACAAACGCTTAGTTAATACAAAATTATAATTAAAAAAAAAAACTTTGGTCAATTGTTGATGAATAGAGTGGATGTGCCGATACGTTCAGAATCTTTGCGTCGCTTCGAAGTTGAACTGTTTGTATCTCGATCTCGTATAATTGTTTTTCAATCAACATTCCACTCAACTGTATGAGGTGTTAAAGTTTCGAATTTTTTATCATCAGGCGACGAAACGGGCAGGACATTCACCTGATGTTGACGTTTAATTTTGACATTACGGTGCTATACAGGATTCTGAAATAAAAAATTCTAAGCAGTACCGTATTTGAGTTAGTCATCTTGATATTTCATCTCCATAGCTCACCACACCTTTACCTACGTATTTTTTATTGGCTTTAATTTTTGTTTGACACTTTGGTAGCAGATATCGATCGTGTAAATTTCGAAGATTCTGAAAGTAATTTTTACGATGAAAAGGTATTGAACTAAAATGTACCAGGGCTTGACCGCAAATCTACTAATGTTGAGATTTAGAGAGGCGATACGATCAAAAGATATTTATATAGCTCCATAAGAATGTAAATTCTTTAGTATTTCTTTTTATTTCATTGCACCAATAAATAAAATGGACGTAAATCGAACGTTTACGTTAGAAAGCAACAGTGTTGTGCTGCGGCATTTGTGTAAAAAAAACATTTGGGACAAACGCGCGTTGAACCACATTCTCCGTCGATGTAACGTTAACGTACCTGCTTGAACTAAATGTGCGAATATTTAGTAAACAGCACCACGCGTCGCCAATATTCGGTGCGGTCTGTATTGTACAGCTACTGACGTTGACCCGGTTTGTTTGTTTCTTATGTTTTTTTTATTATTATCTGTGGACAGGCGACCGCGGCCTGAGGAACTTGTCTGCATGTCATTACGTCAGTGGGCCAGCGGCAGCGCGCGGTTGGCATTATGCATGCGGTAACGGTTGCCGGCACTTGCGGCGAGACACCCTACATTGCCAATATTAATGCCGTTCTAATATACCTCGGATTCAATAATTCGCCAACATCCGTACATTTGCATATTAAGCTAAGACGATCGATACACGAATGAATGCTTCGTTTTGCTCTCGTTGCGCGCTAAATAGGACATGTGTGAAACTATGCTTTCACATGACGCGCTTCAATTCATGTCACTAATTAGTTGATAAATATTATTTATTAGACTGACAGATGTCAACTGTCTAACCGTCTAACTATAAAAGTTCGTGAGATAAAAGCTATCGACTCATTTCTTGTTAAACTACTTAGATAAGAAATACAGTACAGAGGGTAGGTAGGTATGTTTTTGGTACAATGAAAACGATGTCTCTTGCACGACAATTAACTAATTCTGATTCAAATTCATCAAGATCAGTTAGTTATCAGAGGTTTAAAGCCTAGAGTTACGGTTAGGAGTGGCTAGGTCTTAGTTGATTTCGCAGATATCTTTGAATTTCCACGTAGACGCCGCGTACATAGCAGAATTCGAACTTAGGACCTGTAGATGACAAAATTAGTGCATAAACCCCTGAGCCACCGACACTCTGTTAGATAGAGTTTATCTGTTTCATGTTAACATCATTAAAAACTCCACAAATGCAAGGTCTTTGAAGGTTCATCTCGAAAAGGATAATAACCCATTTTGAAAGATGTTTTAGTTACAGCTTGTTAGTTGCAATAAAAACAAAAACATTAGCGTACCTAAATTAACCGTTTTTAAAGCAATACTTTTCTGACGTTTCAGGCTCGGACCGTTTCATGAAAGATCTTTTAGCTCAAAAAATATCCCACGTAGAATTTAACGTTTACTTTTTATGCATTCTACTGTTTCTTGAACGGTTCATTGATATCAAAACGGTAACGATATCACAACAAGCAACGTAATATCCACCTCAAAACCGACTGCTCGTTTACGGGTAAGGCGTATTGAACGCATTCTTGAATAAATTGAAAAAATAAAAACTTAACAATGCGATTACAGATTATCGGTAAAAGAGTCACGATCTTTTACTTTTACTGTGGTCGTTTAAATATCAGCGAATTAAATTAAATGGTGCAAGTTCGCTGGCTTTTGTTTATTAATTCACTAAAAATTGCTTTCACTGTCATTAACACATACTGACCACATGGGTTGTTTATTTTACTAATATTAAAAATTGCGAAAGTTAAGATCGATGTTTGTTAGAGTTTGTAGACTATACTGCTGAATAGATTTTGATGTAATTGGCATAGAGGTAGAGGCTAGTCCGGAAGAACACATGCTACTTTCTTTTGTTTTATAATTGCATGAGGACAGAGTCGCAGGCAAAAACCAGAATTTCATAAATGTCATATACCATAAGCTTGTTTTATCTAAAATTACTAAAACTTGCATAAGTCGTAACATTGTAACTGATAGTAACGAACTCTTTCGTTTCAAGATATTCTTATTGT